CAGAAGGTCCTGGGTTCGAACCCCGGTGGGTGCGTACTGCTGAAGAGTCCCAAACTAGGACGAAACAGCTGTCCAGTACTCCCAGGTTTACCAATGGTTCTCTAGCTAATGTCAACTCATGATATATATAGATATATTTCTTTTCCTTCCTTTTTTTCTTTTTGATCTATGTTGCTTTATTATTATTGTGTGGCGCATACTTCTTGGTGCCATATTGTACCAAGTTTTTTATGCGTTTAAACAAATAATAAATAAAATATCTATTTTGGTATTATTATTATTGTTCCCTTGGGTTCCTAGTGGAACATAGGGCTTCAACTGCACGTCTCCCTCCACTTGCTTCTGTCTTTCTTCTGCTGTACTTTTCACCTCCATCCATGTTAGTCTATACTGTTTCAACTCCTCTTCACATGATCTCCTCCATGTCACCCTTGCACTGACGTCCCACTCGCCGCTTCCCTTTTGGACTGGTTCCACTCAAGCAATGGCTTGACGCGCGCGCGGCCTCCTCAGCGAGTATCCAATCCATCTATCTCCACTTTCTCCTGCATATTTGTTGGTTGGCGATTGCTTCTTGTTTTGTTTGTTCCCATAGTTTCTTGTTGGTGATTCTTTCCGGCCCGGCCATCTGATCTCATCTTCAGTATAGAGCGAAGACAGTTGCTGATAAAGGTCTGGTCTGCAACAGGCTGTTGTAAATATTCTCTGTGACCCACCCGCCCTCCAAGTTTCTGATCCGATCCGTATAGAAGAACTGACTGACTTGACGTTGTTTGTATTGAAAATCCAACCGAATTTCGTTGTTGATGCTGGCTGAGTCACGAAGATTTCCAGATTGGTTGTTTCAGGTTGATGAGTGAATGTGTTTCTCGCTTTTGCGATTCTCGATTTGACGCCCCTAGATAAGTGAGTGAAGTGACCTCCTTCAAATCCCTCCCGTTGATGGTGATTGACGCTGGATGTTGCTGTTGTTGTTTTTGGCTGGTTATTTTCATAACCTCCGTCTTGTGTATGCTCACCTGGAGTCCTGACTTCGCCAGCTGCTTCTTCGACCAGTTTGTCGGTTTTCGCTTGTAAGTCTTCGATTTTGTGTGACATCAAACAAATCATCCACGCGCGAAGCCCAGGTCTTCTAGGTTCTTCACGTCGGTCCAGGACATTCCAGTCTTCTCGTTTGACACTGTCTGACGCATAATCCAGTCAGTCCACCACAATTAGGAATATCATTGGTGATAGTTAATAAGCACCCTTTTCTGACTCATGTGTTTACTCCAAACGCCTCGCTGAGTTTTCCGTTATGGATCACTTGACATGTGCCGTCGTCGTACATCTGTTGAATAAGGTTGATGAATATTTGGCGTACGCCATAGTACTCGAGTAGTTTCCAAATTACTTCGCGATCAACGCTGTCTGTCGAAGGCCTTGTCAAAGTCTATAAAGTTGAGGTAGAGGTTTGATTGCCATTCCATGCTTTGTTCTGTGATGATGATGCGTAGAGTTGCAATTTGGTCAGAATATGATTTACCTTTCCTAAATCCAGCTAGTTCTGTTCGGATTTCTCTATCCACTGCGTCTTTTATTCTCTCCTAGATGATGCGACTCAGGATTTTACTTGGCGTCGACAGAAGCATGATTCCTAACCAGTTCTTACAGAGTCCTAAGTCGCCCTTCTGTGGTAATTTTACGAGGAAACCTTTCCTCCAGTCAGTAGGCACCTTTCCCTCCTTCCAGACACTTTGCAATGATGGAGTCAGCATATCTGTTGTCGTCTCTGGGTCCGCTTTTAGTGCTTCCATCTGGTCCAACTGCTTTTTCCAGCTTTCAGAAGCTTGATTGCACTCAATACTTCAGCCTTCGTTGGGGGATTGGTGTCAACTTGGAGTTCACACAGTGGTAAAAAAGAGTACTCTAAAAATAGTGTTTTGGAGCACTCATTGTTAAACTTGGGAACTTACGAGTATCAAAATTCGTCAAAAATGCCACTGACTGCGGCTAATTTATCATGGAATCATTTATGACTTAATCTCAGGCATTATTGTGATTATTTTTATTCCTTATTTTTCATTTAATTACTTTCAAACGTTTTCGTTCATTGTGGTTTCTTTTTGTGTTTATTTCCTACAGTAGTTGTGCGTGTTTGCTTTCCTAAAATGTAGCTAACTTAGATTGATGAAGTTCTGTGTTGATGATTCGGTGTAGCAGAATATTTTTGCGGAGGGTTCTTCCATCTATGTTGACTATACTTAATCACAAATTTTAGTAGTTATGTGAGTATTTCATCTTTTCAAACTAATCTGTTTTCAGGAAAACTGAATTAGCTAGTTAAAAATTGAAGACTCAGTAATGTCTAGCTGCATAAATTCAAACGGCTTGGGGACGTGTAACGTCGAAGTGTGTGGTTGTAATAAAACCAGTTGAACACAATTTGAAACACTAGAAAAGAGTGTAACCAATAAATGCTAGATTAGTTGTAATGGAAAATGTTTTTAGATGTGTTCATTTTATGGTAATTAAGCTGAATAACTTTTTCTAAGTTCCAAAAGTATAATAACTGAGACGATAAAAAAGTACAATAGTTACCATTATTTTTTCTAATTTTCTTAATTGGGATTTGTTTCCGCGGATTTGACAACTACTATTTCGTGCAACAGACTATTAGCATGATAGTACACCCTTAAATTGAGACTTTCATCCTGTCAACTGTTATTTGGTTGCTATGTCTTTATGTAAACATCCACATAGCCATTAAAAGTGGGAAAAATAAAAAGGCTAGCTGTCTTTGATCATAGATGTTGGCGTTTTATCTCTCAGGTAAGATGGTACGATAAGGTGAGTAATACTAAGGCTAAGCGTCAAGGGTTAGGTAAAGAAGAAAAGTTAATCGATTAGGTTGTGAAGCTACATCGATTGAGATGGCTAGGGCATGTGTTAAGCATTCCTAGCCATCACCTTCGTCTACGAGCAAAGTTAGCTGATAGAAGGTTGGGCTGGAAAAAGTTAAGGCGTTGTCTAAGGATAACATGAAGTTTTTGACTTTTGGTTTAAGAGGTGTAGACTGCCTAGCTGGTTGGTGTTCACGAGATTCTAAGAACTAGTGGCTGGAGACAACTGGTGATATGGCTTGAATTCGTTCTCAATGACTCAGATGCATTTACTCTTTGTGATCTTCCATATCCCATAAAACCCTATTGTTTCTCCTTCACATTTCTACTTATAATAGTTCTTCCGAGTCTTTTTTGTCTTCCTTTGTGTTGTGGTACATGGAATGTGGCAACTCGAATTGGTGCACTTCTGTGCAAGAAGCAATGTTGAAACCTGTCAGTCAGTCGGTCATGTAAACATCCTCCATTCAGGATTATGTGTGTTTGTTGATTCAGTCTTCTTAAGTACTTGTAAATTTTATGACTCATTAAACAGTACACGTTAATACTGTTCGATATGTTTCCCATTTTGTTTGAAGGATAACTATTTTGCGCTAATTGCTGTTTTACAACAGATAATTTTGTATTTCACAAAACATATAAAGTTTCAAGATGTGTTGCCAGTATAATAGAGGTTTTTGTATTTCCCAATGAATGAAAAAACAAAACGAGATTGTTTTACTGACGTTTCGCTATTTAATGCTAATAGCTTTCTCAAAGTATTATTAAACCGGAATTTACAAAATCTCAGCATATATATAACAAAGAGTTAGGGGCTGAGAAAAAAATATAGACTTAGTTCAACTTAAAAGGACATATTGAAAGTCAAAATAACAATGAAGATCGTTCAAACCAAATATCAAAGGTAATAGTATATCTGTTATTATATCAAAATAAAGTTTACTAACTTGATCATCGTCCGTTAGTCTGGGGTCATTTTTGGTTGTCATGTTGGAGAATAGGTAAAGGTAACCAAACTAAGTGTAGATTGTGAAATACTTGATTATCGTTCGTCAGTCTGGGTCTTTTTTTTTGTTGTCAAGTTAGCGAACTGGTAAAGATAGCAAAATCAAGTGTAGATAGTTGGATTTTGTCAGTGTGTAGAATTATGAAAGTAGTGTGTGTTTACATAGTGAACTTGCTCATCACATTTGTGTTGATTTTGCTACTTCATGGGGTAGGGTGTTGTAGCCAGGTCAGATTCTGTTTTAGTCCATCATTCCTATTCAGGCAATTTGGATTCCACTTGATATGAAGTGCTTCTGATATTAGACGTTCTTTGTGGTTTCTGAAGTTTTTTGGATTATTTCAATATTGTCAAAATCAATTTTGTGGCCTGATTCTATAGCATGTAGACCTATGGCTGATGATTTTTGAAGTCTTTGTAGTTCATATTGACGAACGATAATCAAGTATTTCACAATCTACACTTAGTTTGGTTACCTTTACCTATTCTCCAACATGACAACCAAAAATGACCCCAGACTAACGGACGATGATCAAGTTAGTAAACTTTATTTTGATATAATAACAGATATACTATTACCTTTGATATTTGGTTTGAACGATCTTCATTGTTATTTTGACTTTCAATATGTCCTTTTAAGTTGAACTAAGTCTATATTTTTTTCTCAGCCCCTAACTCTTTGTTATATATATGCTGAGATTTTGTAAATTCCGGTTTAATAATACTTTGAGAAAGCTATTAGCATTAAATAGCGAAACGTCAGTAAAACAATCTCGTTTTGTTTTTTCATTCATTGGGGAATACAAAAACCTCTATTATAATGAATATCATATACCCAATGCCCAAATTTTTTCAAACCGTTAAAAGTGAACTTGGTTTGGACATATATAACGTGTTGCCAGTGTTTTAATTATAATTTATCCCAGGATTCGTTGTCATTACTAACTGTGAGGATTAAGGCGTCGGTAGACCGGTTAAATCCCCTACATCTCCCTTCAGTTTTCAAAGGTATTTATGCATAGCCTTTGGAATAAATCCTGTGTGTTTTTGTAAGTGATTCAGCAACAAGTAATGCAAAACTAAGGCATGTTATTTTATACTTATTATTGTAGCGCTGGTCTGGAGGGTTTGCTTAGTGAATTGCCTGCAGCAGAAGCAAGCGGGTCTTTGTCAATTGCTGAAATTTTATTTGGAGCCTTTGGTAAAAACAAAGTTTCCCCTCAATCTTCAAATGATATCACTGAATCATGTAAGGATACGAATCAGGCATTTGAGCAGGAATATAGTAAATTTCAACTGAATGGATTTTGCTGTGTGCAACACAAAAAGGTACCGTATATATATTTTTTTATTTTTCCCTTATCTACCTGACATTTCAGCGATTGATGGAAGGTCAGCGCTATTGGAAGACTGAATAGTATAAGGGAGTTCAGTGTCACTTGTCTAGTTGATTCGATTCCCACCTGGCCCCATAGTTTAGATGGCATTTTGACTGGGGAAAGTTATTAGGTTGGAAATATTTAATAATGCTGTAAGTTTTACTAATCCATAAGGAGGAAATCACATGAATAAAAAAAGTTAAACTTCAGGTCAAGGGAACAATCAATACGAATACAAGTATTCAATCAATCGACGGGAAAATCAAAAATTCAATTCAATAACGAATACAAGTAGACTATGGAAGGTGAGAAAACGCACACGGAAACAACCAATCACGTTCAAGGTCAGGCCGCCAGGAGAGATGACTAATAAACTCGTGGAGAAATTTAAAAGCTCACTTTATTAGGTTGGAGTGTGTATGCACTGTGGATTTTGCCCAGTAGTAAAGCAATGGGAGTTTCGCGGGTAAAAAACAACCAGCTCAGAGAACACGTACACCAAAATCATTCACTTGAGCTACACATCTCCGTTCTGTCTAAATCTGAGTGTATATATGAGTGGCCAATGCTTGTGTATGTTTATAGAATGTGACATGTATTCACATAAATTTCTCACTGTGATAACCAATAGATTGCTGATATTAGATGGTCGGAAGAAATCAGCAAGAATCCTTGGATTTAGGTTTCATCGTAGCTGGTACTCACCAGTCAGCAAGGTGTATCTGCAACAAAGGACAAGCCACATTACACTATTTACTAACTAGTGTTCAATCAGAAGTATCCAATACAGTCTTCTACAGGCAGGAGGTCAATCGCAAGCCCGAATAGCTCAATGGTAACGTCACTGGGTGACGTAGGTTCAAATATCAGAAGGGACATGAGTTCTTTCAAAGTTCTAGATACGCCTTGCTGAGGGATGAGTGACAACTAGAGGAAGAGAACCTAGGTCAAGCAAGGCTTCCTGTGGCCGATTGCCTCCAACCACCTAACATCAACAATTCACAGAGTACAGTGTTGGCAAGTCACCACCTAGCATGGTGGGGCCATATTACAAAGACCTACGTGCAGCACTTACTATACGTCATAGGTATTTGAGAATCATATACGGCGGAAATTATGATCTTTTTTAGATCTAGTAATGTGCTTGCATAATTTATATTGCCTAAACATTATTATTATTATTATTTCTATTCACATTACTTATGTTATAAGTGTATAGGAGGGAGGGTGTGTGTGTGAAACATGTATAGTAAATTTGTTTTCTTTTTCCTATTCTCCACATGTAGAAGTTCTATGAAGTTCCCAACTCAAATTCAACTCCTGCTATTTCTCACAGGTAAGCATAACCTCTCTTACCGTGTTATTATCGACTGCATGCTACCGGCTTCTGTAGTGTAATAATTAAACAAACGACATTACTGTTGATCCATGTAATAACTTTTACAAATCAGTTGGTTGATAGTGACTAGCAGTGGAATCCAGGATGCTCCGCACTTCGTCCTATTTTAAACTCGTCATCTGGATGTAACTGCATTCCCCAGTGAGTGACGATGTTCCCACCGAGGCCCGAACCCAGTGTCTATAATCTTAAAAACCAAAGCGTTACCCCACTAGACCACTTGGGCCACGAGAACTACCTCTTGTGCAACGGGTCATGTTAATTTAATTTTAGATTTTCCCGTCGATTGATTGTACCGAAGTGCTCTGTCTGAGGCTGACATGTCGACTCCTTGTTCAGATGCTTCGACAATGTCTGGTCATGTAAATTGAAGTCAATTTGTTGATGGTGACTAGCAGTGAAATCCAGTGAAGGTGGGAACACCATCACTCACTGGGGAATGCAGGTTCGTCCGGATGATGAGCCAGTCTCAAATAGGACGAAATGTGCATTCTGGATTCCACTGCTAGCCACCATCAACCAATTGACTTCAAGTTACATGACCAGACATCGTCGAAGCATCTGCACAAGGAGCTGACATGTCAACTTGAGACCGAGCACTTCGGTTCAATCAGTCTACTGGAAAATCTAAATTGAATTACACTTTTACACATGTTTAAAAGTACTTTGTTAGCGACGAGTTCCTTCAGACATTTTTTATTGACTGACACGTTTGATGAGAAAGTTCAGTTCAATATATATATATATATATATATATATATATATATCAAATGATTGAGGAAAGTTGAATTCACAAGTCAGATCACAATTGCATTCAGTAATTTTGGACAAATTTAATCCTACTTAATCTTTTCGGTAGGACAAAGTTATAACTCTCCCAAACAGTTGTGTTGTTAGACATATTTTGTTCTATCAAAGAGAAAATTTATTGGATGATAAAGTCTTGCAGTGTTGTTATGTGGAATACTTTCTTTTTACTGATGACCTTTTCAGCACAATCGATTGCCGCTCATCGTTATCATGTCGAGTTACTCACACAACTTTCCTACTTCGTTTATATCATTCCACTATTTCTTATCTCTTGATTTGATTGATAGTAATATTTGCCATATTCCTGGTATGAGTGATGAGTTCATTCATATTACACGTGTTGAGTGTAGGCTCTATGCGCAAACATTCAGTAATCAACCTCTCTCTATCTCCACCCACCTCTATTTCTTTTCACAACTTTTACTCTGTCTTAGTCTGTTGTCTGTGTCTGTGTGTGAATGCATGCAGTGCATTTGCTGAGCTTGTTTCCAAAGTACTCATCTTCGTGGGGTCAATTATCCTAACCTTCGCTAAATTCTTATGTTTTGACAGTCCCACCGATCCTTATCTTCTAGTTTGACCTTTGTAGTTGGTTTAACTCACATTGATTGCAAGGTATTTTGTAAATTATATTTTTTAGTTTAATTGTGTTAACTGGGGTCCTTTATCCTACAAAGCTTGTCCTACGTGATTGAGTTTGTAAGTTTAATTGCTACTCTAATTCCGGCTCTGTTAAGAATCCTCCGTAGGTAGGGTTTCAAATGTCCCTTCCTTAAATGGTAAAACTGTAGATGCCTTCCTTATATCCTCTTTTATTTATGTTATCATTACTAGTTTCACTATTTTTTTCTTTTTCCTGTGATCTTTTGTGATCTTCCGAATGAATTTCATAGGATAGTTAGTTGTTAAACAACAACCAGTTATTCTTCTATCTGTCTCATTTCATCATTTAGGTTTTTTGCTGTATATTATTTCACGATAGGAGAGTCTTCAACTCACCTTGAATTATGAATTAGGCATATGTGAAGCTTCCCAGCTTTTGTTGTATTTGCGAAGTATGCCGTTTTGTGTCTTTTGTTTCTTTTCTGTATAAGCTGCTGCATAACTGATAAAAGTAAAGCTGTTCTTTTTTCTTCTATAAAACTGTTTTTAACCATTGCCGTGTATATTTACATTCACAGTGATACTACTAGTAAGCTATGCAAATCTCCTATGAATGATGAAGCTTCATGTGAAGTAACCAATCAATCGCTTAGACGGCGTTCTTCCCAGTTACATCTTACTCAACAGTCACAGTCTTCGGATCCTGATAGAACAGACAACAAGCAAACTTTTCAAGACGTGATACAGGATGGCAAGAAGAGCACATCTTCACCAAGTGGTGAACGTTATGGTCAAAACTCTCTGAAATTACAGAAAGATCAGTGTCCCGGTGAAATTTGTAGTCCAGAATCCACTTCATCAGATTGCTCCAGTCGGAAACGAGTTAAAATGGATGAATGTGGTGAAACTGGTCAATCAGAACAAGTACCGAGTGAGTTCAAGGGTTTTGTAAAGGCAAATGAATTTATACTAAATATTTGTCTGTTTTCTTAGCAAGTAAAAGCGGTCTTGTAGAGGCGGAAGATAAGAGAAGTAGTAACGGACTATATTTATTAAGGAAAAAAAGCATCATATTTACATATTTTTAACTGCATTAAGTGGTATCTGGGTCAGCGGACAGTAGACTGTTTTGATTGGTTGGCTATTAACCCATGGTTGAATAAAGGGACAAAAAGTTGTCCAATGGGATTATTCCCAGACCACAACGTAAACTAAATCCAGATTTGAACAGTAAACACTTCTGCACCTCTGCATTTTTGACCACTTCCTATTGATCTGCATCTATATCGCACACGCCACAGTACTATTTTACCGATCCACTTTATCTTAGGATTTATCTTACGATGATTTCATATAAATAACTTATAACTGGAGCAGTTATTCTCAAACAGCTGTATAAATATTCATTCATATGTATGCATGATTAGGCATGTTAAAACACTAATTTAACATCTCAGCAGAATACTGGAGCGCTTTACTTCTTTGAGAGAGAGAGAGAGAGAGTATCACACGTTAGTGGTCATTCAAGGGAAAGCTGTGCATTGTGTAAGACTTTACTTGTTATTTAACTAATCTTAGATGTTTCTTCTTACAAGGTATTAAGTAAAGCATTCCAGTAGGGGGGGGATGCATTCATTTGTTTAGGGATCGATATCAGTCAGAGAAACATTGAAAACCAGTTGGGAGTACTAGACAGCTGTTTCTTTCTAGTGCTCCGGACTTGTCGGATTTATGAACCTATCGGGTGGGATTCGAACCCAGGACCTTCTGGTTACAAATCAAGCGCTCGTAAATCATTCAGCCGCTGGGACCCCATACAATTGCCAGTCCATGAATTCCAACTTCTACTAATTTACGATTCTAGTGTCATCGACCGACTACCAACCAATTTCATCGATGGGAACTCCATCCTCACTCCCGACAGGATGGATGTCAGTGGTCCCGACTATTCAGCAGAACTCCAGACAACTTCTTCCTATGACCAATCGTTAACGCCTGACCGATAGCTGCTAACTTGATGTGGTGGTCGGGCTTGCATATCGCGATGACCCACCAACAAGCTACACTGGCTGGAACTAATGTTCCTGCAGGTCCTACCATGCCAGGAAGGTTGTAAGGGTAGCGATTAGACTGAAAGCAGTCACCGGCATTGTGTAAGAATCTTTCTTACACTATGCTGTGGGTCTGAGGGCGAAGTCGTACTGCTGGGGAACAGCGGTGTAACAGCAGTGAGGTGTTCCCCTCAGGTGACCAGCATGGCAGCCAGCTATGCTGTCTCTCCACTCCGGAGAGAGAGGGGGTTAGGAAAGGTCGACCCTAAAAATTGTACATCCAGACTTACCCCACCTACGGTGGTCCGTAACCGGCGGTAAGTTTACTAATACGGAACCAATCCCAGAAACCAGTTCATACAGGTCGTGTGTGACCGGCCTCAAGCTGGTATCCTCTGGGCTCTGCGGTCACGCAACACTAACCCTCTCACTGTTTCAGGTACCCAAAGAATTAATCAACTTGCCCGGTGTGGGTAGCCGGGAAGTAGCAACCGCCCACACACTTCCAATAGCAAGAGAGTCGTTAACGAGCATCAGATTAGTTTTCAACAGTTAGTTTGTAGGGATTTGATTTGTTTAACAAATTTGACCACGGGTTGGCATCAGTTAGAGAGTGATTGAATGAAAACCAGACACACTGAGTACTACTGTATGGTTGTTTCGTTATACACAGTATACAGAATCTAATTGTAATTCAACATCATTGACTTTTTAAGTAGAGTTGATAATATTGGGAAATATCCAACCGATCAACTCGTAAAAATAAAACTAACCCTTAGGAACCAAACTATAGAAGATTAATCTGGTGCTCGCTAGTGACTTGCTACAGGTTGGAATTTCCTGGAGTTCTAGTGAGAAGTCGTGACCAGTGAAGTCCAATTAGATGTCGCATGTTAGGATGGATGTCCCACTGATGACTTTGGTTGGGGTCGCGCTAAATCACGAATTGGTAGAAGTTAGAATTCATGTACTGACCACTAAATCTGGTCCGAGTGGCTGAATGGTGTACGAGCTTGCCTTGTAACCGGAAGGTCTTGGGTTCGAACCCTGGCAGTGGGTGCGTGCTGCCGATGATTCCCAAACTAGGATGAAACAACAGCTGTTCAGTACTCCCAACTGGTTTTCAATGGTTCTCTAACTAATATCAACCCGTGATCAACTCATAAAAAGACTTTGCATCTATTCTGATTGATGAAAATGTACCATTTTACCAACTAACTTGCCTTATTTAAAGTCTGTCTGTTTTCGACATAGAACTTTGCACAAATGTGCGGAAGTTCAAGTCGCCACATTCCGTGTAGCACGCGAAGCAAGAGAAGAAAGTACAAGAAAAGCATAATAGAAACAGTGAGCAGAGGTGTGAGACAAAGGAAGAGTAATAACGAAGAACAAAACAGTTTCATTGAAGATCATAAGTCACAGGGAGTGGATGCATCTGCGCCACTGAGAACGGTTTTGAGCCATGTCACCAATTGTTTCCAACCATAGATTTTTACCGTCCCGAGGACCCCAGCCTGTACCATTTAGCAAGTTTCTGCAAAATTGAAAATTAAAATTCGTTTCTTAAAAAGTTTTACCACTTACAGCATTTTTGGTAATTAATGAATAACCATAACAAAATTGTTCAGTCCTAAAGTAATTTGATGCTAAAGCCTCACAGTGTTGGTATACAGTATTCTTATTTCCTGATGACGAGCACAATTTATTTCTGCTCATTGTTATCATATCAAGGTACTCTCACACAACTTTCCAACTTCGTTCATACACATGAGTAACAAATTGATGATTAGACATACGAATGAATGAATAAATTTGATTTCATGACATTAGCTGGTTGTTGGCAATCGGCAGGAAGCCTTGCTTCACCTACGTTTCGTGCTAGTAGGCGCTTACCAGTCAGCAAAGCGTATCTGCAAACTTGAAGGAACTCATGTCCTTTCTGAGATTCGAACCTGCACCACCTAGTGCTGCAGTCAGAGACGTTATCACTGAGCTATTTGGGCTCGCGAATGACTTCCTTCCTGTGGGACTAGATTAGATACTTTGATTGTACACCAGCAACTAGTGTACTCCTTTGTTTGGTGCAGACTGAATTCTGTCAGTCAGGTTCGAATCTCAAGAGAGGCATGAGTTCCTTCATGGTTGCTGATATGTAGTCACATGTAGTTTGCTTTGTTTTGATAGTTTGGTATATTTTGCTATATGCGTATTGATCGTTATTTCATTAACTAAAGAAGCAATGTATGACCTTTGTCACACGACATTACAACCAATCAGAAGCCAATGGTTGTAACAAAAACTACTATCTGTCTTATGATTGGTTCATGTATGTTAGTCATTTCCTATATATACTCTTGTATTGTACAGTTAATTCACACTTCGTACTCTTTCGTACTTTTCCACTCATACTCTTGTGTGACAGTTAATTTTCCCTTGTTGGAAAATACACGTAACCATTTGTGAACGTGGTGGTCTTCTGAATTGCCATCTTCGCGTCAGATCAAATTAACTACTCAGCAGTACCAGTCTGTACGTTATCGTCATTAGCGCCTATTTACACTCGATCACACGAAAAAATCGGCAACGAGTTCATAACAGTTGCGGATACGCCTTGCTGACTGATAATTGCCAACTAGCACGAAACCTAGGTCAAACAAAGTTTCCTTCTGATTGCCTCCAACCATCTAATATCATCAAATCAATGTGCACCTTGATGGCGAGCTACCTAGAATGCTAGCCACATTGCAAACCTGACTGATAGAATTCAGGCTGAACCAAAGAAAGGACTAGAGACACATTACACTAGTCCATAGTGTCCAGTCAAAGGAAATAAATCTGAATAAGGCATTTACAAGACAAATTTCCCGAGATGATAAAAAGGTCAACATAAAGTTCAACATACATGTATGAAAAATATGCGATAGGATGATAGAATAAATTCGTAAATGTGAATGCAATACGATTGGGTTCGGGTGGGGTCGGGTGGGGGCGGGGGGAATAAGACAAGTGTTGGCAGTAAAATAAAATGAATTAAATGGTATAGTATAATAAAAAAATTGAAACAAAACATAAATCAAATCTGAACATTATTTCGTATCCTTTGGTTAAATTCGATATAGTATTTTACATATCACTGGTATTAGTCAGGGGTCATGTCTATTGCATGTGGTAGATACGATGAACAAAGATTCAGTAATTTACCTCTCTCTATCTCCATCTATTTACATTACATTCTTGGTTGTGTGTTAATGCACGCGGTGCAATCACTGGGCTTTCTTCTAGATTACTTGTCTCCTCGAGGTCAATCATTCTAACCTTTGCTAAATTCTTGTGTTCTGATAATCTGACTACCCTCGATCTACTGGTTTCACCAATATAGTTGACTTAACTCACAGTGATTGCAAGGTATTTTGTAAGTTATATTATTTTGTCTAATTGGGTCCTTTAACTTACAGAACTTGTCCTACATGAGTGAGTTCGTAGGTTAAAGTGCCATTCTAATTCCTGCTTTATAAAGAATCATCATATGTCCCCTCATGATGTGGTAGAACTGTAGATGCCTTATGTTCTTTCGTGTTTATATCATCGTTATTTTTGTTTTGCTGTTGACCTTTTTGATCTTCCTAATGAATTTCATGTCTGTGTGCATTTCGGATTGTGAGGGTGTTTGTTACTTCCCGGCTGCCCACACCGTGGAAGTTGGTTGTGTGACCGCAGAGCTCAGAGGACAACTGCTTGAGGCCGGTCACACGCGGCCTGTTTTTGTTCGTTCTTTTTTGTTTGGTGTGTCTCAGTAGCATACTTATCACTCCTGCCCTGTGACACGGCAGCAGGAAGCGCGGTCGTTGTTAATCCGGGCCACGGCCGATCCGGCATGAAATTTTGTGAATTTGTTTGAATCATGATTGGGGTAGCTGCTTTTTGTTTAACCGCTATCCAAACAACCTGCCTGGCATGGTAGAACCTCAAGAGACATAAGTCTCAGCCAGTATAGCTTGATTAGGTCATTGCGGTGTTCAAGCCCGACCACCACGTCAAGGTAGCAGCTTTCGATCGGGAATGAATTTCATAGGATAGCCAGTTATTTAACACCAACCAGTCGTTCTTCTATCTGTTTCATTTCATCATTTAGGTGTTTTGTTGTACTACTACTTAGTGCTATTGCTCGGTTCGGTAGACACTTAACTAAGCCTACCTTTACAAATAACGGATGAGATGAATTAGAGTCTAAATATCTATTAGCAGAATGCGTTGGCTTTTTATAAACACTAGCGTGCAGTTTACCTTCTTTTATTCGTTTTATTTAACAAGCTAACTTAGCTAATTCGCCTTATTCATTTTCTGATTCAAATATCTTATTGACTGAAACACTCGTCTTATTTCCCACCCATTTTATTGCATTCACATATACGAATGTACTTCATCATCCTATTTCGCGCATGTCTGTTGACCTTTATATTGACCTTTATTTATTTATCCGTTCATTCATGTGTCTAATCATCAATTTGTTACTCAAGTGAATAAACGAAGTCGGCAAGTAGTTGTGTAAGAGTAACGTGATATGAGATAACGGTGAGCAGTAATGAATTGTGCTTGGAATGTAGTCATCAGTAAATAAGAATGTTGTATAACAACATTGTGAGAGACTTTATCATCAAATAAATGTACTCTGCGATGGAGTTATACGTCACCACAGTGTCCAAGTTCGTATTCTCGTATTTATATTGTAACAACAGAAGACAAGGGCCAAGCAACAGATCGTTTATTAAGGAAATCAACACATTTATAGATTTTCACGTAAATTATTATAGATTATTATTAGCAGAAAAACAGAGTCTTCTGATTGGTTGTTTTTTCTCACAGAAAGTTAACCTTGCATCTCTTTTTATGGCTATTTCTTGAATGTCAGGTCATCTATATGTTAACTGTATCCGCCTACGCAAAGCCTTTATTTTCATTTTTCTCACGACCAATATTGGGGACATAAACAACACTGACGTAAATTACTGTCCACCAATTTTGACTAACAGCCAGCTCTCACCACAATAAGACGTATGTACTGTATTAACTTATTATTGTGTTTACCGATCAAGTATAAGAGGATTATCGATTCTGATCTTTTTTTGTTTATTTTGAAGCCAAGGCAATGGAGAGGGTTGAAAATATTGATTCAAAGATGCATGAATCGCCTGTTGTGATGAACCCAGCAGACAATATTTCTTCATTACTTGTAAATCAAGAACAAGCTGTTGAAGACAATTTATGCCCTTCTGGTCCACTGTCTGACATATCAACAAATGATGATCATGGCGATAAAATATGTGATAAAAATACTACAGACTACTACAACACAACAAGTCCGCCTAATCCGCCATCGGTTACAGCTCTTGAAATCTGTAAACAGTCGCCTCAACCGATTACTATTTCATCGCCTATACCCGCCACTACTTCTTTTTCTTCCTCGGATGTCACTCATGCAGCTACTCAACTGACAGAAAAACAACCTCCAAGGTAAAGAATTGTGGTAGATTTTCTTTTTTTTACTGGAAAGTAACATTTTATCGTGAGTAATTTTTTTGGTTAAACTTACGTAAAGTTGTTGTTTTTATGATTGGGATGTTCAAGTTTTCAGTGTCGCAGTGGTTGGTGTTTGAAAATCCTTTGTGCACTTTTAAGAAAAGCGGCATATCTAGTTTACCGCCTAATTCAATTTCGAAGTTGCAGACAATTGTCAGGGTGATATTTTCTATGTCTTAATGATTTGTATGAAATATTTTATTTCTTTGTGTCCCCATTGGAACATTGCTACAGAATTTCCAAAACTCGAGCTTCAGACTCTGTAATCTGTTTTATGAGGTGGTGTTATTGGCCTTGCACCCAAGCTTCCCACTTTGTCGAGCTTCGTACTGGTTATAGAGGGAGGAGGGTAAGAGTGCGTCAGCCAGGAATTGAATCCCGGACCAAGTGTGGCGCGTGGTTGACGAGTGCCCTACTGTTATGAACTCGTCGCCAAATATGTTATGGTCTCGTTGCCGATTTTTTCGTGTGATCGAGTGTAAATAGGCGCTAATGACGATAACGTACAGACTGGTACTGCTGAGTAGTTAATTTGATCTGACGCGAAGATGGCAATTCAGAAGACCACCACGTTCACAAATGGTTACGTGTATTTTCCAACAAGGGAAAATTAACTGTCACACAAGAGTATGAGTGGAAAAGTACGAAAGAGTACGAAGTGTGAATTAACTGTACAATACAAGAGTATATATAGGAAATGACTAACATACATGAACCAATCATAAGACAGATAGTAGTTTTTGTTACAACCATTGGCTTCTGATTGGTTGTAATGTCGTGTGACAAAGGTCATACATTGTTTATCTAGTTATTGGACGGACAAAACATATTGTGAGTTATGATGGAATAACGATCAATATTTCAGACTGTCAAGACAAAACTGAAATCATGTGACTACATATCACTTATCCATTGAACTACCGACGCATCTTAATCATAAATGGAACGAAAAACGTTATGCTGTGCTATAATGTCAGTGTAACTTTATGAATGTGCTCCACTCTAGAGATTATTCTCCATAGAAAAAATTCTACCAATTACACAATCCATGTTCTGTGAGCAGTTTTCAGATCATAGTTTAAATCGTGTCTGCAGTCATGTTATGTTTCTTAATATGTTGAGACTAAAGTAGGGCACAGACTCACTGATCACAAATACCGCCAGCAACATTATGCGACAGCTACCTGTTTCCCCAGTCCTCATGACTTAAACGAAGCACAACTATGTGAGTCGCAGGGTGTATTATACACAATTATGTGTTGTTCAAAATATCACCAAAGATGTGTCGATTAGTCTGTAATCGTGGGCAATAAGATATTAGACGTTATTTTACGTGGGCGAAACTCCTATTGGTTTATTTCCAGACTAGACATCAACCACTATATCACCTCCCACTTTAGAAAAGACGAATTACTTGGGCTCAACCCAAAACAATTGTACAGTCTACTTTCTGCATCTGACTGACCACCGCTTAGGGTCTGTGGTCTGTTGTTTACCAAGTTTCAGTTCCTCTGAGAAGTAAGAGAACGGAATATAGATCACGAGGAGTGAATCTACCTGAAGCATATCACTACTTGTCTCCAACCGTTTCGCTTTTAGGGTCCTGAGGACCAGTTAAACCAGTCAAAGAATTTACAAATCTCTATGTGGCTGAAATGAACTGATGCCATGTTTTTGTTTGGCCACCACTTACTCTTTTCCAACCTATACCTATATCAGCTAGCAATGCCCGTCGGGGGAGGCGGTGGTTAGGCAAGGCATGCGGAGCACGTGACCGACCTAGCCATCTCAATCTTTGTAACTTTATAGACTGGTCGATTGATTTTCCCTCTTTGCCCAACACTCTATGCCTAACGTCAACATTACTAACCTTATTATACCACCTAACGTGAGAAAGAGATCGTAGGCATCTATGATCAAAAACAGCCAACCTTTTCATGTCTTCGACTCGTATTGGCCATGTTTCAAAGCCATAGAGAAGAACGGAGCGAACTTCTGAGCAGTACACATGTCCCTTGGTTGATAGCCGGATGCCACGCCTACGCCAGATATGGTGTAAGTTAGCGAAAGCAGCTCGAGCTTTTTGGATCCGACCTGATTGATCCCATGTCAGTCAACACTGCCCACCAGTCGAGGAAGGCGATGGCTAGAAATGCGTGCGTAACACATCTTCTACCCACCGAATCCTGCCTTAAAAATGAATGAATTGGTAGAGCTTGTTGACCACTTCACTTATTTGAGAAGTTGGTTGCATCAGCCATGATGGAGTGATCGCTGACAACATCTCTTCATGGATACAAAAGTCTCGTGCGGCATCTGTCAAAAAAAAACACTATCTCCGGGGTAGACGCGGTATCCGACCTGTTATTGAACAAAGGATGTGTATACTGCACACCAGTTGGCTCCTTCCTCCTTCATGGCTGTCGAACGTAGTCATTGGAAGTGGAAGACATGAAGAGGCTAACTGTCTTTCATCATGAGTATCTTGGTTCCATCTTCCATGTTCTATGTTGAAACCAGTCAGTCTGTCAGACACAGATGTTTTTGTGTGTTATTATTTCATGCTGTATTTTTGTTGTTTATGTATTAACAAGCACATGTTTAAACTTCTGTCCTAAATGCATTTGCACTTTTCAGAGTTAACCAACAGAATGCAATGAGAAAACGTAAGAAATCTATCAAAAACTCAAGTAAGTGAACAGGTATATATATATATATATATATATATATATATATATATATATATATATTGCTTGAACTCCTTTACCTGGAACAGATTTTTCATGTGCCTGGCTAAGTGCCACCCACACTTTATCTTATGAACAATGGTGGTACTGTAGTGTGATGCAGATTGATAAGACGCTGCGAAAATTGAAATCTACATTTTAAGTTAGTGACTGACTGCAAAGGTCGAAGTGTTTATACTCCAAATCTGGATTTCTTTAGTTTACTTTGTGGGCATGAATAAAATAACCTCATTGAACAACTTGTTTAACCTTGGGTGGGGCAGTCGCCAACCAGTCAGAACAACCTATTCCCTTCTGACCTAATCTAACTTCATTGGGGCTAAGAATGTTTAGATATGATGTGCTTTTCAATAATAAACGTCCGTCACCGGTTACATTACCACCACCCAGTCGTTCAAACTGAAATAAATTTAGCGGGACTCGAACCCATTACCCACAGGCTGATGAGTACTGAGTGTTTAAGCCAAGCTAGCCGCGTCTCCGTCTCCCTCCATCTCCCTTTCTGTGTATAGCTATAGTAATTGGTTGTAACTGGATTGGTTTCAAGTATACAGTTAGTTGACAGATGGAAAACTTTACCTGTGCAAACCTTAACAACTGTGATAGGTGTTCCTTATTTTTTTTGACGGCGCTCCACTGAATAACCCCGTCGTCAAATAGCTTGCTACTTGGACTGTTACTGTCTGTATTGGTTGTTGTCTATCTTGACCGAAATGCGCCTCCAGACACGACATTTTAGCCAAACTGATCACTTGAAAGTATTCGGATAAATGTGCTAGGGTTGCGTAATAAGATAAATAATGTTATGAGTGAGTTGTAATTAGTGTGCTTATAGAAACGAAGGAAAATATTGAATTATGTAAGACTTCTAAAAAATGCAAGAGTTACAATGGATTAGAGATTCAGCAAAGAAGATGAGTAGTGTATTACCTTTGGGAGGTTGTTCTTCATTTTGTAGATTACTTTGAATCAGGAGGCGTTTGCTATAGTGAAATGATCAGTGTTCACAAGGGGTTTGATTATCGCACTTCCTGTAGGAGAGCCACTACTGCCCTTCCTTAGTCTTGCAGGATAGTGTTCTTGAACCCTTTTAAACAGGATACACGCATCGAGCATCCAGTACACCAGCATCGACAAAAACAGGTGAACTGATATATGCACATAGAAGTTGGTCAGATGCGAGTTCTTGTCCTCTGGCCTTCTTCAGTTCAATGGACAACTGGAGAACTCTATTCTCAGAGTTAAATTCAAAAAATGTTCTTCCCAAATGAAATGATGAAATTCTCCTCTTAAGGATTTTGCAGGTTATTTCTCCCCCCTGGAATTCAAGTTCGTGTACAGTTGCTTTTTTTAACCATATCTGAGAAGGACACTCTTCGCAAGAATGCCAACAATAGTGTTCTTCAGTCGTCTATTAGTTTTTATCTACTGCATTAAGATTATTTAGTGTTGATCACGGTTTTAAATCTCGATCGAACTAATTCAAGCTAAGTGACTGGTTGCGCATGGTGTGTCATCACTTCGTTCACAGTGATGATGTATAAAGATGTACAACTATCATCATTCTCACCTTTTTAAACATATTCTTGTTTTACAAAAAAGTACATTTAATTTCAGTCATTTTATTTTCAATAATTATTAGTATATTGGGGATCTGGTTTGTTTCGGTTTTGATCATGGATTGATATGAGTTAGAGAACCGTTGGACACCAGCCGCAGAAACTACTGGACAGCTCTTTCCTCCCGCTGGATTTTGAACCCAGGAACTTCTGGTGGTTACAAGTCAAGTACTCGTAGACTATTCCAACCACTGGGACTCGACTTAGTGGCCAACTCATGAATTCCGATTCCTACCAATTCGCGATTTTAGTCCCAACCGACCACTAGCCAATATCACATAGGTCAGCAATTTGTCCTTGCTGGTCATGACTTTGCACTAGAACTCTTGGCAACTTCGTCTGATCATTATCAAGTACTGGATTCGAACGCCCTCCGGGTGGGTGTGTGTCCTGACGATGAATCTCAAGCATTAGGACAGAATAGCTGTCCACTCATTTGAGGAAGTACCATCAGCCCCAACGTGTCGATCTCTGAAGAAATCTTCGCACGGATACAGAGGGCTAGTTTCGCATATGCCTGCCAGTTTACGCCGTCTCTGGCATAGTAGACGTGATATCCGACTGGCCAGCAACCAAAGAGCAGGTGTACTGCTCATCAGTCCGCTCTGTCCTCCTTTATGGCCAGCTGTGATACCTGGCCATTGAGAGTGGAAGACATGAAAAGATTAGTTGTCTTTGACCATAGGTGCCTGCGCTCTATCTCCTGTATGTGAAGTGGTATAATAAGGTGAGCAATATTCAGGTTAGGCTTTGGTCGAGTGCTAGGTAGGCGGGAAGGTAAATCAATCGACGAGGCTGTGAAGTTACATCGACTGACATGGTTAGGATGTGTGTTACGTATGTCTAATCATCGCCTTCCTCGACAGACTGGCAATGTTAGCTGACATAGGATCGATCAGGCTGGAAAAGAGCGGGTGACGGTCAAACCAAAACATCTTTTCACCAGTCAATGAAATTCACAACAGTTAGTCTAAGCCACGTGGGAAGGTGTACACTGTCTTCCGGGTTGGGGTCCTCGGGATGGTAAAAACCAATGGCGGCTGAAGACAATCGGTGATATAGCTCAAAATCGTCCTTAACGCTGGTTCATATGTATCTACTCCTTGTGACTTATGATTTCCAATGAAACTGTTTTCTTCTTCGTTATTACTATTCCTTTTGTCTCACACCTCTGTTTACTGTCTCTATTATGCATTTCTTTTACTTTCTTCTCTTGCTTTGTGTGCTACATGGAGAGAGAGTGGCGACTTGAACTGGTGTACATCGGTGCAAAGTTCTATGTCGAAAAGAGACAGACAGACAGACAGCTACCCACTACTCCGTATGGCTGGTAGTAGTTTTCAATGGTGGTTGTTCCCCAACTGCTATCAATCTATGGTCCAACCTGGTGACAGTAATGATTGATTATAACAGTAGTATTTAATCACGTTGTATATTTGTTTATATTCCAACTTATTCTCGCTATTATTATTATTAATCAAGACTTTGAAATCAGTTACTAGTAGAAAGTAGATAGTGCTATCTCGCATATATATATATATATATTGATACTTCAGTTTATCATCGTTTTGTGTTGTGCTGAGTTGAGTTGAGTGTTAATTTTTGTTTTCCACTTGAGAAGTACAATGAAAAATACAAAAAATACAACAACAGCAAAAACAGCACACAGTGAGTTTGTCACTTGAATTTTTAATAAAATCTACCTTATTGATGTAATAGTACTGGATACTACAAGGCATTTTGGTATTGTATTGTATTATATTACATTGTATGTATGTATATAAATATGTAGTTTGTTGATTTCTTATCTTCTTGATGATTTATTTTTTATTATTATTTTTTTTAAACATTAATAGTTTCATGGATATTCGTTTTGGTTTTTATTTATCGATCTGACTATTTTTTTTTCAACTTTCAACCGTCATCACAACTCCTTATTGATGTACCTTGATATACAAGGGATTCACGTCAATATGTTATCTTTGTGTTTTTGGTTAATTTTTGTATTGGATGATTATTATAGACTCTAAGGGCCTAGCGTGCGTTTGTGTGTGTGTGTGTGTGTGTGTGAAGTAGTGTATTAATGCCTCAAATGATTGATATCAGTTAGAGAAGCATTAATTAATATGATGCACATTAGTGACTGTGGTTACGGGATGAAGTTGCCTGGAGAGAGATGTCTTTTTTAGTGTGAGAATTCGTGACCAATGAGGTCAGTCCAATAGGGAGTAAGGAGAGATAACTGACTGATGACATTGGCTGGTGGTTGTTGGTCGCGATAAAATCACGAATTGGTAGAAGTTAGAATTTATGGACTCCTAGTGGTTGAACTGTGAAGGATCCAGTGTTCCAACCCCAGTGGGGGTGGGTTCTGTTGTTGAGTCCCAAGCACTGGGAGGAAACAGCTGTACAGTAATCCCCGGGTTCCCAATCCGTAGTCTAACCTATAGCAAATAAAATACTTACAAATTAAATCTTGAAAAAAAGATAATCGAATTCATGAGCTATTGAATCGGGTCCCATTGGCTGAACGGTATACAAGCTTGTCTTGTATTCGGAAGGTTCTGGGTTCGAACTCTGGAGGTGGGTGCATACTGCCGATGATTCCCAAGCACTAGGATGAAACAGCTGTCCATTACTCCCTGTGGTTGGTTTTCAATGGTTTTCTAACTGGTATCAATCCGTGGTCAACCTCGTAAAAATAATATTATTAATTATAGCTTTATTCTTATCAGTGTTTATGTAATAATGTCCAGAATTTTCAGCGGAATTCATTGCATAACAGTTTCTATTTGTCCACGATCTTCACGTAAAATAGTAACTGACAGTAAATCCCCTGACACATTACTGTTCCACCTGAGGTTGAAAACCAATCCCTTATTTTACTTCTTCTTTGCTGCCTCGCACCTTCAAGCAATGCACAACATTTGATTGAAAGCCCAAGAACCAAAGACATAAAGATAGCTGAATAATCGAGGATTGTAGGTAGCTAGTTTCATTTCTCAAGCAGCGGCAGTTTATACTGAAAATCTCGGGAACAGTTATCTCATGTATTGATGTGCGTCCCGAACCACGATTTCGCTTTCTCTCGTGTTTAGTAGACACTAGCGAATCAGCAGGTTGTAGACGTCTTAAATACTCGTGAGATTAAGAAACACCATTAGAGGCCATATTTTTAATAGATTAATACAAACTGAATAAAAGGAGCATTGTGCAATATGATGATGAGAGTATTTTGGTAGCCCAGGTTTTAAACAGACCGCCTTAATTTTTGGAATACAAAAACACTTATTTAATAGCAGAAAAAAGCCTTGTTTTTGAATATAAGCTGTTATCTGGGACTGATTTGTCATTTAACTTGCCATGATCAACGTTGATTGTGCTGCTCAATGATATTGCTCGGTCATCTAGTCTTAAAACCCCAAAGGCTTCCGTACAGGTCTCTGTTCGCTAGCCCTGGGACGGGATGGAAAAGGTGGAGGGGGTGGTCAGTCCATGACGTGGCGTCGTGGGATGAAGGATTTTTGTGCTAGATTAGCATCGGTTGGTGTATCACGACTCCTTGGTTGGGGTCCGAGAGATACCTCAAATCGATGGCTCGAAACGTTATCGGATATGGCCAAGAATCGTAATCAGTGGCGAATGTGTTGCGATTTCCTTCTTTCTTCCCTTCTCGATGATAGCTAACGAACACTGTTTGAACTTGTTAAGCATGACTGTTTTCCTTCCAGATGAAGTTCTTTATCCATTCTCTACTTATATATATTTTTTCTTTTCCTTCCTTCCTTTTTTTGATCTATGTTGTTTTATTATTATTGTGTGGCGCGTCTTTCTTGGTGCCATATTGTACCAAGTTTTTATGCGTTTAAATAAATAAATTAAATAAATAAATACGTAGAGTGGGACTCGAACTCCGAGACTCAGTGGCTGAAAGTTAAGCGCTAAAGCTATTTTGCTACACAACTTAAGTTTAATTGTTGTGATACATCTAATTACACGAGATGATATATTTGATATAAGAAGAGCACTTGTGCACACTGGTAGAGTATTATTCCATTATGGGTTAAATTTATTTTGACAAAGTTTCACAGTATTATACAGTAATATTTACTGATGACGGCATTTCGAGCACAATTTATTGCTCATCGTGGCTTATATCAGGTTAGTCACACAACTTTCTAACTTCGTTTATTTAATTCCATTATTTCTCATCCCTCGATTTGATCGGTATTAGTATATGCCATATCTTTGGTCTTTGTGATGAGTCATTCCTATTGGATGTGTTGGATGTATGCCCGATGAACAAGGAATCAGTAATTAACCTCTCTCTCCACCTACCTAGATTACTTTTTAGAATTTTAACCCTCTCCCACTCTATTGTGTGGTTTTTTGTTAATGTATGCAGTGCAATTGCTGAACCTTTTTTGCTGAATTACTTATCTTCTCGGGGTCAATCATTCTAACCTTAGCTAAATTCTTATATTCTGATAATCTGACTACCCTCGATCTACGGTTTTTACCAATGTAGTTGACTTAACTCACAGTGATTGCAAGGTATTTTGTAAATAATATTATTTTGTCTTATTGAGTCAACCTGTAGGCTCATTTAGCCTACAGAGCTTGTCCCTACCTGATTGAGTTTGTAGGTTCGAATGCCACCCTAATACCCGCCCTATTAAGAATCTTCCTTTTATGGTAGGACTCTGTAGATGACTTATATTCTCTCTTATTTATGTTATCATTATAAGTTCCACCATTATTTTTGTTTTTTCTTTTTTTCTTCTAAATATCTATTAGCAGAATGCGTGTTTAGTTTACCTTCTTCTGTTTGTTTTATTTTACAAGCTAACTTAACACTAATTCCCTTTATTGGATTGAATTTTTGATTTTCCCGTCGATTGATTGGACCGAAGTGCTCGGTCTCAGGTTGACATGTCGGCTTCTTGTGCAGATGCTTCGACGATGTCTGGGGATTTGATTTGTATACAACTGGTGGATGAGACCGAGCACTTCGGTCCAATCAATCGACGGGAAAATCAAAAATTCAATTCAATAATTAATATGACCCGTTGCACAAGAGGTGGCTCTCGTGGCCCAAGTGGTCTAGTGGATAACGCTTTGGCGTTTGAAACTATGGGCACTGGGTTCGAGCCTCAGTGGGAACATCATCACTCACTGAGAAATGCAGGTACATCCAGATGACGAGTCCCAAATAGGAAGAAATGCGCATCCTGGATTCCACTGCTAGCCATCATCCACCAGTTGTATACTAATTCCCTTTGTTCATTTTCTGACTCAAATGTGAATTTTATTGCCCCTTTATTAGTGAGTTTATATGACACTGTGAGACTTAATCAAAATAAACTTTATACACAATGTGATGCTATGAACCTTATGAATCTCTTTCTGTATGATAAATAGTTTAAATGTTATCCTTCTACTTAGTAAGTATTTTTCGTACTTTCAGCTGAATCTTTCTAAAGTCTAAAACTGGTTGTTTTTTTTAAGTTTCATAACAAATCTGTTTGTCGTTAATCGTCGACATACTAAATTTACATACTTACCAGTGGTGTTTTGAAATTGGCGGTAGATGAGTGTATTGATTTATTTAGTCAACATCTATTTTTGCTGGTATGTTAAATGTATTTTAAAAAAGGACTACTTCAGTCTACGATGTCAGTCACGACGACAATGTTCCTCATGTTGGTTCAGTCGTCTGATTTCAACACACTGTCATACAATCAAAATAATGTATGTGCGTGTAGTTTCTTCGTTAGCCTACTGCAAAGATTCAGAGTTTATTGATTGGAATCTAAATCAAAGACGGCTTGTTTAAAACATGTGCTATCAAAATACTCCATCATTATGATACATAGAATTCCTACTGTTCACTTTGTTTTCATCTGTTAAAGTCTAATCTCTAATGGTCTTTGATCACAGGTGTCGTTGTTCTGTCTCTCGTGTTAGTTGGTGAGTAATATCGATGTTAGGCGTTGAGTGTTAGTTAGGGAGTGAAAATCAATCGATGAGATTGTGAGGTTGCATCGACTGAGATGGCTAGGATATGTGTTATGGATGATTAACCCTCGCCTTCCTCGACGGGAAATGTTAAATGACTTTGGATTACTTCCATTATGGGTAAGATTTTATACTTATATAGACATGGGATTAGGCTGGAAAAGAGCTAGTGATGATCAAATAAAAACATGGAAAAAGTCTGCGAAATCTCTAACGGTCAGTTTGAGCCAGTCCCGATGGAAGGTGTAGACTTCTTGGCTGGTTAGTGTCCTCGGGATTCTAAGAAGCAATGAAGGCTTGTGACAATTGGTGATATGGCTCAAAATCGGTCTCAGTAATGCAGATCCATTCACTCTCTGCGATTTCCAATATCAATTAAAACAGTCATTTCCAATGTTACTACTGTTTCTCCCTCACATTTCTGTTTATTCTCGTTCTTCCGAATCTATTTTTCTCTTCGTTTTTATAGTACATAGAGTGTAGGAACTCAAACTGTCTCACTTCTGTGAAAGGTTCTGTGTTGAAACCAGTTAACTAGATGTGTTGCCTATACTGAGATATTGTCTTTCTCCACCAGCGATTTTGGCTTATATAAGATTAGGTTGAGAAAAAGAGTTAGAGATAGTGAAATCGAAGTTTGGCGTCAGTCCATAATATCGATTGGTTTAAATGCCCTGGCTTGCACCCTCAAAACAAAGAACCAATGATTTCTAACTGTTTGTGACATAGTTCAAAATTGTTATGAATGACGCAGATATACGCATTCACTCCTTGTGATTTGGGAGTTTGATTAAATTCTCATTGTTCTCCATACAACTGCTGTTTTCCCTGTACATTTCCTATTCAATTAGAGTTTCTTTTTTTGTGTTGCTGTATGCTTTTAATAAGTGTGTTCATACTTTCTGCTTACCTTCTCAACATAATCAATTTTAAAGAGTTGGCTTGTAGGGATTTGATTTAGTTCAAATTTGATCACGGAATGATATTTGTTAGAGAACCATAGCGGAGTACTGGGCAGCTGGCTGTCGCGTTAAAATCATGAATCGGTACAATTTAGAATTCATGAGCTGGGCATTGAATCTGGCTTGACTTATAACTGAAAGGTTCTGGGTGTGAACCTCGGTGGGCTGGTAATGCTGATGAGTCCCGAATTAGGACGAAACAGCTATTCCTGAATTAGGTTATTGGTTTATAAATCATGGGAATATTTCATGCCTTTTTAACCTGTTATATAGTGTGTAATAAAAAATGGATTCATCCTTATTGTTATGCGTCTATCTTAATTTTATTTATTTTTTCAGCACCTCAGTCCACATCGTCTACAACAGCAACAACAACAACAGTGCTAAACCGTAATTTGGCTGTGACTGCTGATAGCGGTAGTAGTAGTAGTAGTGGGACAGTGGTAGCCTTATCAGAGAATTCCACTACTGACTCCACTACACCTATCTTTACTCAGGACAATTTGCCTTTAGTACTACCCCGTCGTCCTTTATCTCTACGTGGTCTTGGCATTTCATGTAATTCAAGGAACAGCTCAATTTTAAATAACACAGCTGGCAGTTATATTGATTCTCCGGGTACAACGCATACAAATAGCATTCCAATTACAAGTAAGGGTGATAATTCATCCTTACCGCCGCCGCCTACACTATCAACAATGCATGATCTACTGGAATGGCAATGGGATCAAGCTGGAAGTTTGTTGATGCAACAAGCAAAGAAGACTGATGGTATGTTGTTTATCATAATGTTGGTTCATATTTGAATTAGTGTTATATGAATAATTTTTCCACATTTTCTGTCCAATCAATGATATGAATAATTAGAAAGAGAACGAGAACTTCAACACGGCGCACCCATCAATGCGATTTACCTTAGAACGTGAATCGAACAACGCATTTCCATTCCTCGATGTACTACTTAACAGAAACACGATTGCACGATCCAAAGATCGATATAATATCGCAAGCCAACGTGGACGGGACAGTTTATCAACTTCCAGAGCTTCGTCCCATTGATCTCCGAGAGCGAAACCTGGTACATACATTATGTTCAAGGATTAGAAAAATCTGCTCGGAAGACATGGCAGAGGAAAAAAATAAATTTATTACGTGAAATTCTACTAGAGAACGGGTATCCACCAAGATTCATAGACAAAAAACATGAAAGAGAAGCCTCCGCCGCTAAACATCGCAACTGTTGCTAAGAAAATTCTCTTCATGAACCTGCACTTCAAAGGTGACATCGCAGAGAAAATTCTCAGAAACCACATTTCTAAATGTCTGAAGAAGACATTTCCAACAACCACCTTACGTATCACATTCTCCGGCAGACAGTGAATACAGTCTAACGCTAAGGATATGATATCGCTTTTGGTCACTTCAGTGTGTATTTATCAATTTACTTGCTCATGTGAAGCAAAGTATATTGGCCGTACGCAACGTCAAATCTACAAATGTATTCTGGAACACCGTCCAGCTTGGTTAGCCAGAGAAGAACACCTTGTCATCTACGGACATCGAGCACCGCCACATGGATGCTTCACAGTGATACACAGAGTCCCTCAATATCGTACAAATTGACTTAGTATACGCTATCTGTACATAGCTGATGCATTAGCTGCTCGAGATCTGAAACCGGACCTCTGCATCCAAAAGCGACACATACATTCTCTCGCCCTACCGTGGCCAGAGTAAAGTTCTTACTATAATTTTGCTTCTTTCTTTTTCTATTATGTAAGTTCTGAAAAAATAGAGAAGATTTGTAGCTCAGGTGGATGATTTCCAATTAGTAGTGTTCTCTCAGCTGGTTGGTTTAACTGCGAAGCTTTCGTCATCCTCCTGGACAACATCTTCAGCGCAATTTTTAGCATAAACTGAACTAATTTAAATCAGCTCAGAGAACACTACTAATCGCATATTATGCAAGTTCACTAGGATTATTATTGTTATTACTACTATTATTTTATTATCATTATTTTTCCCATCATCCATATTTTATTACCACTCTATTACTGTTAATTAATAACATTGCTTTTTCATACAGATTTTATGTAAGAACACTGTATCGCCTTTCCACTAGTTCCTGTCCATTCCACACAAGCTTATTGATTAGTCACTATCTCACACTTATTACGTGATGGCAAATTTTGCCTCTTTTCTAACTTACAATCAGTCATCCCTTCTTAAACCTCACGTTATGTAATACCATTTTTCGAGGACAAAGTTTACCAGTATCTGATTGGTCTAATGATTTCTTTATTTAATATAATTACGATTATTGTACAACAGCTCATGATAGTGAATCGTCAAAAAGAAAATTTTTTCTTCGGTGTTTACGCCCTCTTCTTATGACTCAATATCTGGGAATATTTCGTTCTTGAAGAACTTACAATACCTTGCAAGACTGACTTTAAGAACCGTCGTGGTGGGGTTACTACTATCCAGTCAGTTTATTTGGTTCCTTAGTAAAGAATTTTTCTCTTAGGTGTAATATCACATTTTACAGGTGAATATTATTTATCTGTAAAATGTGATATTCATATCTGGACTTCATGGAGTATTTATTTCTAATGTCACACAAGCTCAAAGATTTACAGGAGAAAAGGCAGAAAACTGGCAGAAGAAGCAGACTGCAAAGACAGGACTTCAAGTTTTTTTTCCTTCACATTCCCAGTGGAACATAGGGCTTCAAGCTATTGGCTTGAAGTTTCTGTAGCAGTGTTTATTTTTTACGGGATGGGGTCGCTGGCCTCATCCCCAACCTTTCCTCTCTACCAGCATTATTTCTGGCTTAACGAGGTAAAGGAGTGCCTTGTCGGCCGGGAAACGAACTCCAGACCATGTGCATGGTCGGCGAGCGTCCTAACCGCTGTGCCACCGACGCACAGGACATGGAGAAAACGTAGGTAATGAAGATAACCAACCAATCAACCAACAACTACAAGCATTAATCACTGTAAACAGGATAAGTTTATGAGAAGTTACTTCCTTCAATTATCTGGTCAGGCAGCACTGTTTCAACTGCATGCCATAGCGCGATGACGATGTGAAAACCCGCCAGGATAGGGAAGGCAAGACAGATCCTCATCACTATGAAATCAATGTGGGAAATCTTCTACACGCCGTAGCATAAATAACAAAATTATATTCGCATATTCAGCATCAGTAATGAGTCAGTCAGTTCATCTTTATGGGTCAGAAACTTGGTGGGTGTGTCACCAAAAACCAGCTGCAGACCTTTATCTACAGCTTACTTCTCTGACACCATAATGAAGCTCAGATGGCCGGCTAGAAAGAGTTGGTAGTGATGAACTCTGGAAACGAACAAATCTAGAGTCTACTGGTCAACTAATATTCCGCAAAAGATGGAAATGAACTGCACACACGCTGAGGAGACCGTTGAGTGGTGACATCACGTGGCAGACCATCGCTCGATTGGTAGATGAATAGGAAATAACGAGGCGTGCATCGGGTCTGAGGGTGACATGGAAGTTAGGGTAGCAATAGTGACTGGCTGGACTTGTTTCTTCTTCACGTAGATCTCAGGTTGAAGTAAGGGAATTACAATGATCTCTGGTGTTTAAAGTGTTCCGTTTTTGAAGGTCTTTTGTGATTTATTTGATATCTGACAGATGATAGAGGACGACTCTTCAATGTGTTACCTGTCTGGACGAGGTCATCTAATATAGAACTCTTGATGGTTTTAACAACACTCTTTTTACCACATCACTAGGTGTGGTAAATATATATACATATATATATTAAAATTGCAATTCAAAAATGTCTTCTGTGCTTATTTGTCTTCCTTTCGTGTTTTCCATCTTGTTTCACAAGCATCTTTCACTAAATCCAACTCTCCTCTGCTCTATATTCTTTTAGCTCGTGTACATATTTATTTCTATATCTATATACTACTTAAAAATCTTGTAAGTAGCATGCGCTAATCTTCTAGTATTCTCCTTAAAAGTGAATTAATTCCGATTCTTTGAGTTATCTTGTATGACCGTGTATTTATAGCCTCATGCTCAACCTTCCCTCTTCACGGGTCTTGCTACTGCCTGAGCGAGATTTATGAACGTGTCAGTCGGGGACTGAAACTCAGATGGCGTGCGTGGTTGGTAAAGTGCTCCACCGCTGAACCAGCGACACACATTACTTGATAATATGGGTTAACTTTATGGATACACACCTGTCATACTTCTATAAAGTTGTTATTTGAAAAATTCACATTTCAGTAATAATAATAATAAAATTTATAATATCTATTGATTTTTTTTGCAAATTTTAACCTTATCTCTTAGTTGTCACCTTGTTGGATTGTCTTCATCAGTTGAAATGTGAAAATGATATTCTCGAGGCTAAATTAGTTCGTCTTACAACTAGACATGAACACTTGCGGTCTGTAAATGCTCGTTTATCAAATTCATTGGCTACCATGGAGGCGACAATGGTGATTAACTCACCTAAACATGAAATATCTGAACAGAATTCCAGTGTGATTACAAATCTTTCAAAAAAGACAAATAATCATTCTTCTCAGCTACTTGATACTAATATCGTTGCTCAGGATTCACATTTAGCCTCAGTGTTACATACTGCTGTCTCAGGAGAATCTCAGCAGAACCAACTGACGGACAGTTTAACTAAGGGTAAGTTCTTTTCAATATATATATATATATATATATATATATATATATATATATTGTAACAACAGAAGACAAAGGTCAGGCAACAGATCGTTTATTAAGGAAATCAACACATTTATAGATTTTCACGTAAATTATTATAGATTATTATTAGCAGAAAAACAGAGTCTTCTGATTGGTTGTTTTTTCTCACAGAAAGTTAATCTTGCATCTCTTTTTATGGCTATTTCTTGAATGTCAGATCATCTATATGTTAACTGTATCCGCCTACGCAAAGCCTTTGTCCTCATTTCTCTCATGACCAATATTAGGGACATGTACAGCATTGACGTAAATTACTGTCCACTAATTTTGACTAACAGCTAGCTCTCACCACAATATTATTCCTTTACGCTCCCAGAGAATTATAGGTCTTCAAGCTACAGGCTTGAAGCAGTGGTGATGATTATTATTACAGAATGGGGTTACTAGTCTCATGCCCACCCAACCTTCCCTCTTTACCAGTCTTATTGCTGGCCTAGCGAGGAGTGCATCGGTGGCCGGGGATTGAACCCCGGACCACCTGCGTGGACAGCGAACACTCTACCACTGTCACCGACGCACTCTTTTCAACTTAATTTAACGAATTTGTTTCCTACATGATTAGCAATTTATAGTTTAATTAAACGGGAATTTTAAAGCTGTCGGAAGGTATACGATGCGTAGAGATATGTTTTTTATATTTCGTAGTCTGTGGTAATTTGGATTTGGCTGTGTTCTCCGAGGAGCTGGTTGATGTAATCGCGAAGCTTTCATTGTCCGTCCTTCTTCTAGACAACAACATCACTTCAGCGCAAGTTTTAATATTTCAAGTGGAGTTATTTGAACTCTCTATGAAGGGAATGATGTGATTTTATCTCCTGACACAACCTCTGTTGTGACTGGTTGTTAATTTACACCGATCACTTTTATTCACTTGGGATTTGAACTTTCTTGTAGTGTGATTTATTTTTTTTATTAGCTGGTGTTGAGGTTAGGCTTCGAGTGCTAGGTAAGGTGGGGAATCAATCGACGAGGCTGTGAAGCTTCATCGACTGAGACGGTTAGAGCGTGTTATGCATGTCTAGCCATCGCCTTCCAAGACAATTGGCAGTGTTCTCTGACGTAGGGGCAGGTTGGAAAACAGCCAGTGGTGGTCAAACCGAAACATGGCTTCATCAATCAATGAAATCCACAACAGTTAGTTTAAGCCAGCCAGCCATGTAGGAAGGTGTAGACTTCCTGACTGGTTGGGGTCCTTGGGATGACAATAAACACCAATGACTTGAGGCAATTGGTGATATGGCTCAAAATCGTTCTAAATGACGGCGGAGATGCATCCACTCCTTGGACTCATGGTTCCCAATGAAACTATATTGTTCTTCGTTATTACTATTCGTTTGTCTCACACCTCTGTTTACTGTCTCTATCATGCATTTCTTCTACTTTGTTCTCTTGCTTTGTGTGCTAAAAGGAGGGAGTGTGGCAACTCGAACTGCTTCGCATCGGTGCAACGTTCTGTGTTGCAACCAGTCAGTCAGTCAGTTGGTAAATTTTAATTGAGTACCAGACTTTTAGAAATCCCCTAACTGCATTTTTGTGTTTTTCCCCTACTTAAAATGTCTATATTATCCCAATCAAATAGGTGTCCATAATTGTCTGTATGTGTCGATATGAGAGAATACATATCGTTTGTTGTCACAGCTAATTAATTAACTTACTTCCTTGGATTCCGAGTCGAAAGGATGCCCACTTTGACCGGCGTAGTAGTGCTTAGCACACTTTTACAATTTATTTTGTAAATGATATTTATCTTATCTCCACGTGCTGTTGGATCCTTTGATTTGCACACTGCTGAGTGAACTCTTCCCTGAATTGGAAGAGTTCTTTTGAAATTCAACTGTATATATCATGTAGTTAGAATTTGAATGGTTTAAATAATAGAAGCGTATTATTTGAACGATATCAAATGTTAATCTTCATCTTGGTGTGTTCTGGTGAGTAATAAATATCGTATCAATCTGTGATTAATGATTTGTATAGGAATTCTTGCCTCAGACTGTAGCACAGTGGTTAGGACTCTTGCCGACCATGCACATGGCCTGAGGTTCGATCCCCTGCCGACGGACACCTGATATCAATGGTCGGCCTGCAAAATTCGGGCTACCGATATCGCATGCTGAAAATTCCATACTTGTACCAAAAATACAGTGTGAAATCAAGCTGTAATAAAAAAATATATTACTATAACTACGGAAATCGTTTCGTTGTGTGGTCTGAACGCAGAGAACCAATGCTTGTATCGTAGTATGTATACCTGACAAAACTTTCTTGAGAGATTCACCAAAGACAGCAAAATAACTGTTATTCATGGTTAGATCTTTGCGGTTCTCCTGGACAAAAAATAGGTCAAAAACTCGAAATTTCCTCAACAGTAACAATACGCAGTTATACACAGACAGGATAACTTTTGAAGTAAAAAACAAGTAGTGTGGAACATAACTTAGTTAACTCAAATTCAACTGTATGAAGTACCTTAGGACCAATTAGAATATTCCCAACAAGGTGTGGAATCAAAATTCTGCTAGCATGAATTACACACTGAGGTTTCCCCCGCGGGAAGTCCAAGATTAGAATGACTTTGATTCACTCAAATAAATGGACATTGTAAATCAATGCGCATTATCGATATATCGCACAACTACAAAGAGCAGCATTAATCTTAGAGATTAAACAGGGAAGAAGAATGACAAATAATAAGGATGAAGTCAACATATCATATGCGAATGTCAGAACAGTGATATACAGTTTAGAAGACAAATAATTTATTATAATTATTTCCTTTAATTCCTAGAGGAACATAAGGCTTCAGCCGCGCGTCTCCATTGCGTTCGGATCTCTGCTAAAGTTCTCACTTGGCTCCAGATCTGCCCACATGCTTTCATCTTCTCTTCACATGACCTCCTCCAAGTCACCCTTGCACTGACGACCAACTCGCCGCCTCCCTTTCGGGATCCACTCGAGCAATGTCTTGTCTAGTGATGCCACCTGGTGGTTTGTTTTCTCAGAGTATGGCCAATCCACCTCCATTTATTCCTGCTGAGTTGGTTCGCTCCCAGAGATCCCTCACTACTGCTGATCTCTTCTGGCCGGCCATCTGATCTTGAGTAGCATTGAGCGAAGACAGCTGTTGATGAAGGCCTGTAGTTTGGTTGAGGTGCTCTTTATGACGCGCCAAGTCTCTGATCCGTATAGTGAGTAGCACTGACTTCACATTGCAGTTGAAAATCCGGATCTTATTTTTGATGCTGAGTGCTGTTGGTGTCCACACAGACTTGAGAGTAATGAAAGCTTGTCTTGCCTTCCTGATCCTTGCTTTGATATCCTCATCAGTTCCGTCCACCTGTAGTTGAAACGATGCTTCCCGGGTAGGTAGGTAAAGGAGGTTGCTTCTTTCAGGTTCCTTAGGAGAAAAAGGGGATAATAAATAATAAGTTACAAAAAAGTTTTGGAACATACTTTTTCATAATTACTTGGAGTTATAAATAGAAGGTATAAGGAAACATAATTCCGGAATTTGATGTAGGTAGACAGATTATTCAGTGTCAAAAAAAAAACTAATTATATATAGTGGAATTAGATAAGAGGGTTTAGAGTTCAAATTAATATTGGGAAACGCAGATTGGTTCGAGGCATATTATAGGGTCAAGGTCAGAGAACAGAGTGAATTTACACATGTGGTGGAGAGTTTAAGAGGGTGGGGGTGAATAGTGAAGTAACAGTGAAGTAAGTAACAAAAAACAAAAATAAATAAAATAGGATTAGGGTTACCAGGGTAGTGAAAGATTAGTCACACTATCTTTCTGTGTACAGAGGTCTGGTCGAAGTCTTTTGATAGCGATGGCTTCTGCGAAACGAAGTAGTCATGGGTTTCTTTGCGTATTTTTCTGAGCACATTCCTAAGAGCCTCCATACAAAAGGAAGAAAAGTGTTATCGAGTGCAATCGCCAGACATTTAATTGATACAGGACACACAGTAGAAATCAGCCATGCCTTCAAAATAATCAATACGCAAAGAAACCCATGGCTACTTCGTTTCGCAGAAGCCATCGCTATCAAAAGACTTCGACCAGACCTCTGTACACAGAAAGATAGTGTGACTAATCTTTCACTACCCTGGTAACCCTAATCCTATTTTATTTATTTTTGTTTTTTGTTACTTACTTCACTGTTACTTCACTATTCACCCCCACCCTCTTAAACTCTCCACCACATGTGTAAATTCACTATGTTCTCTGACCTTGACCCTATAATATGCCTCGAACCAATCTGCGTTTCCCAATATTAATTTGAACTCTAAACCCTCTTATCTAATTCCACTATATATAATTAGTTTTTTTTTTTGACACTGAATAATCTGTCTACCTACATCAAATTCCGGAATTATGTTTCCTTATACCTTCTATTTATAACTCCAAGTAATAATAAGTTAGTTGAGACATATAAATAAGTATCGATTTTGTAAGTGAATCATTGAGAAGGAATTTTCCAAGCAATTATTCCACTACCTTTATATCGTAAAGCTTTTGTGTTCTCGTTATCCTTATCTGCGGTCTATGGTATAAAACAGGTCATGTACTGTATGCTGCATGTATCTTAGTTTCTGAAGGAGATACTGATGTTCCGGGGTTGCGTTTGTCATGCGCACGTCAAAAGCAAAGTAAAAATGATTATGAAACTAGTATTGATAGCATAAATAAGACAGAATATAAGTCATATACGGTTTTACCATATAAAGAAGGATGGGACATCTGAGACCCTACGTAAAATTCTTAATGAAGTAGGAATTAGGGTGGCATTCAAACCTACAAACTCACTCAAGCAGGACAAGATCTGTAGGCTAAAAGACCCAGTGGACCCAATCAGACGAAATAATATAATTTACAAAATACCTTGCAATGACTGTGAGTTAGGTTAAATACATAGGTCAAACTAGTAGATAGGGGTAGTCAGGTTATCAGAACATAAGAATTTAGCTAAGGAAAGAATGGTTGACCCCACCCGGGAAGATACGTAATTTAGAAAAAAGCTCAGCTATTGCACTTCACGCAATAACAAACAACCACACAATAGGGTGGGATAGGGTTAAATTTCTTAGAAGTAATCTAGTTAGGTGGAGATAGAGAGAGATTGATTACTGAATCCTGCCTGGTTCATCAAGTCTACACCCAACACACCACATGCAACAGAAATGACTCGACGCAAATACCAGAAATATGGAAGGTATTATTACCACCAGTCAGTCAAATCAGAGGAGGATAATGAATAATCTCAAAATCCTATTTCAATTCAAACACATCACAACATTCTAACAAGTTACTTATTATGACTATAAAAAAACTCGTTGTATTTCCAATCTGATTGTAATTGATCAATAAGTCATATTATTATTTCTGAATGTACATTATCCCATATTGATTTTTATTCAAATATCTAGTCAATTCCATATATGTATATAAATGAAGGAAACAAAATGGTGTGAGTGAGCAGCTTGATATGATTATGAGTGGCAATAGTATGTGCTCGAAATGTGGTCATCAGTTAATATTACTGTACTATGTGATTTATCAAAATAAAATCTTATCCAAAATGGAGTTATGTGTCTAGTATATAATGTTAAGGCCCCGTTCAACCAACTTAAATAGGGTTCGGTGGTGTAGGTAGTTATCATGTCTGCTTTACACGCAGAAGGTCCCCGGTTCGAACCCCAGGCCGAACCAGGCTTTTGTGTGCGTCGGTGGCACAGTGGTTAGGATTCTTGCCGACCATGCACATGGTCCGAGTTTCAACCCCCTGCCAACGCACACCTGATATTTATGGTCGGCCTGCGAAATTCGGGCTACCGATATCCATGCTGAAAATTCCATACTTGTATCGAAAATACGGTGTGGAATCAAGCTGTCTGTCTGTTTTCGACATAGAACTTTGCACAAATGTGCGGAAGTTCAAGTCGCCACATTCCGTGTAGCACGCGAAGCAAGAGAAGAAAGTACAAGAAAAGCATAATAGAAACAGTGAGCAGAGGTGTGAGACAAAGGAGTAATAAAGAAATACAAAACAGTTTCATTGGAGATCATAAGTCACAGGGAGTGGATGCGAAGAACTGTAGGAGACGGTCACCGTTGTCGGTTCGCTGGCATGGAACTCCATAGGTGCCACCGACATCCTTCTCAGATTGACACAATTTCCCTACTTGAGCGTTAAAGTCACCAGCTAGAACGACTATGTCTGAGCGTTTAGCCTTTCTCAACAAACTAGACAGCTTTTGGTAGAACTCATCCTTCGTTTCATCCGAACTGCAGTCAGTGGGGGCGTAGGCGGAGATTACGAAAAGGCATCGGCGAGTAGTGCAGTCCTTCCTCCTTCTTACTGATCCGTTCAGGCGGACAGCACACATTCGGCCATCTACTGGGATCCAGTCAAGTAATGTCTTTTCTGCCCTAGTACTCAAAGCTATCCCTACGTCAGCTAATCCTCGTGAACTGGCTGTGGCATCTCCTGACACCCTCAAGGTGAATTTCGCAGATTCAACCTGTTGGCCAGGTGGGGTTAGGTGAATAACCGCACTTGGGTCTTGTATGCGTGTTTCTGAAACACAACATACATCAATGGCTCGAGATGCCAGGGTCTTAGCTAGTGATGCTTGTTGTCCTATTTGGCAAAGTGTCCTAACATTGAATGCTCCTATATGAAATTGGTGGCGTGGCTTTAGGAGACTATCGGTGGTGGTTTTTTGGCTTCCGTCGTTTTTAGTGGACACAGAGTGAAGAGGGAGTGAGGAACCATCAAGTAGAGGAGTTGCATCAGTGGAAGGAAGGCAAGGTGATAGAGATGAAGATGAAGACAAAGATGAGTGAGTAATAGAGAGGTTTCGTGTGCATTTTTTTTTTTTTTTTTATTATTATTATTATTATTATATAAGCTTTATTCCAAATCAGTACTTGTGATACAGAATGGAATTCTCAGCATTTTACTACATTATTGCATCCAGTTTTTTGTTTACATTAACAATAAATAAAGTTCTACATAGTTTAAAGATTATCTCAACAACATATTAGTATGTCGGTAGCAAAGCCAAAATTAAAATGTTTGAAGGTGTTACAAAAGTAGATACTACTAGCATATTTACTGGCGTAAGCGATAGCAAAATGGTCGAGATATACAGAGTGTAAAAGAACGAACAAGAATGTTTTAAGTAGAGTTTGCAAGGAAGAGAGAAACAAAACAGCACATAACAAAAATAAATACAGAATGAAGAGAGAGAAAACGTTGTACCTATAAATGATGTGAGTTGGAAAGACGAGATTCATTGGTTCTAGTGACTATTTAATAAGTTAAAGGTTTCATGCCTGATGCATTCTTTATCACACAGAACACGGGCTAGGTAGGGTATGGATGAGTTTTTGTACTTACTAGTGCGAGCATATAGTTTCCTATATAGACTTCTTGTTTTCCCTGAAGAGATACATGGGGAGAGTTGTGAGTGTAGAGGGTGTTGTGAGTCAGATAAAATGGACTTCGCCCATTTTTCACATGAGTCCATGTGCCTGTCCACCAGAATGTTAACAAGCTGGCTAAGTGGCAAGCTGCTTACCCTGCTGACAACCTTTAACATCCTACGTAATAAGGTATAGTCTTTCGGATTGTGAAGGCGATTGTTACTTCCCGGCTGCCCACACCGTGGAAGTTGGTTGCGTGACCGCAGAGCCCAGGGGACAACTGCTTGAGGCCGGTCACACGCGGCCTGTTTTTGTTCGTTCTTTTTTGTTTGGTGTGCCTCAGTAGCATACTTATCACTCCTGCCCTGTGACACGGCAGCAGGAAGCGCGGTCGTTGTTAATCCAGGCCACGGCCGATCTGGCATGAAATTTTGTGATTTTGTATTGGACGTGATGTTGGATTGGGTAGCTGCTTTTTGTTTAACAGCTATCCAAACAACCTGCCTGGCATGGTAGTACCTCAAGAGACATAAGTCTCAGCCAGTATAGCTTGAATAGATCATTGCGGTGTTCAAGCCCGACCACCACGTCAAGGTAGCAGCTTTCGGTCGGGGAATCGAGCTGTAATCAAAAAAATAAAGTAAAAATCTTCTGCTAGAGTTAATAGCTTCTATTTGCATTCCAATATTAAATAATATTGATTCTAACATATTAATATTCATTTCTTATTATTTTTACTCTTAAAACACAAGGTTATTCACGTCATCCAGTCACTGTTTCTAACAACGCGGATCAACTTATGGCGAAATATTCAAATACAGTAAATAAGAAAATACCAATTCTACCGAAAGATCCTACTACAACTGGCCTTACCACTACTGGTGGTATGAAACGTAATTCAACAAATCTTACAGATAACCTCAACTCATTCGACAGACTTCATTCAACACCATCATCTTTATTAACGCAGAATCAACCGCCAGTAGTCTTTTGTATTTCACCTGATTTCTCAAAATCTACGCATGATTCATCACAACCGATTTATTCAAGTTTAATTAAACATCAGCCACAAATTCTTCCGAATGAATTATCTACTATTACTACTACTACACAGCATACAAATCAGTCTAGTACAAATCTCGGCTTTGTTCCAAATTCATGTGCTTTAGTATTACCAAATGCTAATTCAGCATATTTCACCAAACCTGTTGATCACAATGAATTGGTGAGTGTTTATCCTGGGCTAAACATTTGTGATTACTTTGTATTGAATAATATGCGAGTATAAATGGGCTTCCGCGAGCCAGGCCCTCGGCGCACATCAACTTGAGCCACCTCTGGTGCCGTCGTGACGTTAGTCTGGATGTCAAAGGTCGGGTATACATTGCTTCGTTGCGGGCTGCCTTGCTCTACGTCAGGCCTGTAAAACGTGGCCTCTCCAAGTAGGCTGAGGATGCACTTACTTTTACTTTACTTCGGCTATCTCCTACGGGAGGATGAGCCGGCTTCATGAACATCTCGAATCATCGCTGCCCAGGCGCGGCGATCTGATGCAAGGTTTTGCGACAGGGTTATCCAATTCTTGTTCCACAGACGGAGTCCGTAGACGGTTTGTAGCCCCAGGCACTCCATATCAGCCTTGACTGTACCAAGCCATGTCTTCAGCTGTCCACCCCTGCGACATCGCCAAGATGGTAATGGCGAGGGATTTAGAACTGATTTGACCAGATCGTCATCTGGTCGGCGCAGAACATGGCCAAACCACCGAAGGCGGCGTTGTTGGACCAGTACTGGAATTTGGTTGATGTTGTAGCAACGACGACGCACTTCTTCGTTGGAGAGTTTGTCCTGCCAACGAACATGCAGAATGTACCTGAGGCACCAATGGTCTACTACCTCGAGTCTGCGTAAATCTTCCGCGCGAAGAGGCCAGGTTTCACAGCCATACAGAAGAACGGGTCGTATGGAGCTTGGTAGACCCGAATTTTAGTCCTGAGACTGATTTCCCTCTTGCTCCATAGAACGCTCCTCAGCTGTAGAAACGCATTCCGGGCGTTGGAGATTCGCGCATTCACTTCGTTTTTCGCTTGACCGTTGGGGAGCATTATGGATCCCAGATATCTGAAGGATGGCACAATTTCAATAGGTGCTCCATTCAGGGATAAGATTTCATCATTGCTGGTGGATGTGTTCGAAAACATTTTGGTTTTGGAAGTGTTAATTTTCAAACCGATAGTAGGCGCGAGGTGGTTTATCTGGTCGAGCGCCTGTTGCATATCGGGGAAGTTTTCAGCTAATAACACGACGTCGTCGGCGAATTCGAGGTCGGTTATGTGAATATCGGGCGAAAGTTGGACGCCGTGGTGCTCGGTTAGGGCGTGCCGCAAAATCCAATCAATTGTGAAATTGAACAGGATGGGGGATGCTGGACAACCTTGCCGGACACCGCTGGTTACCTCAAAAGTGCGAGACTCTTCACCGTTCACTCGGACTCGAGCTTTGGTGTTGGAGTAGTATGACCTGAGCAGGTTGATTAGCTTGGTCGGAACTCCGTCGAGCTCCATTAGATACCAGAGTGCTCCTCGATCAACTGAGTCGAATGCCGCTCGGAAGTCGATGAAGCAAGCAACCGTCGGCTGTTGGAATTTGTCCCTGTGTTCCAAAATTCTTCGCAGTGTGAATAATTGATCAACACAGCCTCTTCCAGGTCGAAATCCGGCTTGATTTGGCCTTGTTCGCACGTGGCGTTCGGCCGCGAAGCGGTTCAGGAGAATGGAAACAAAAACCTTAGCAGCGATATCAATCAGACTTATGCCTCGGTAGTTCTCGCATAGTGACCTGTCTCCCTTTTTGTGGAACGGTAGCAGAACTGAGGTGCTCCAATCGGAAGGAATGGTTTCGGACTCCCAAATTGAGCAGAACAGCGAGTGCAGCGAATCGATTAGCGCTGGAGTGCAGGCCTTGTATATTTCTGGAGGTAGACCATCTTCGCCCGGAGCTTTTTTGTTTCTGAGTCTGTTAATTGTTTTAGCTATTTCGGTTGGAGTGGGTGGATCGCAGTCAACTACGTAGGGTGTTGGTAAGTGTCGTATCGGTCGATGAGACGGTTGACCAGCGTTGCGATTGAGTAGCTGCTTGAAATGTTCGGCCCATCGTTCCATCTTACCATTGGTGTCCGAAATAATTTCTCCTGATGCTGTGCGTAACACAGCATGACTGTTAAGGCGTTTGCCAGATGATAGGCGTATGAGGCGATAAAGTTTTCCGAAATCGCCTACATTTGATGCTGCTTCCATGTTAGTCGCCCATTAGACCAATAGCGATTTCTGTCATTCCTAGCAGACTGTGTAGCTTTGCGCCTGAGGGAGCGATAAACTGGAGACTTTGCTAGGCGAGCGTCTCTGGCTTGCGAGGATAGATGCATGGTGTGCTCTGAAATCCAGTCTTTCTGCTTCTTGGATGTGGTACCCAAATGCGACATTGAAGCTTTAGAGACTACTTCTTTGAAATGATTCCATCGTGTCTCAGGTGTATTAGAAGATGTGGATGTTGGTTCATCTGCGGCGCTTAGTTCGGCCTGGATTTGTTTGGACAAGGCTTGTCGCTTTGTCGAACATTGAAGCGGGGCAACATTGATACGCTTCGGAGGTCGCGCCTTCTGGCGTGTTGTTAAACGAAGTTTGAATTTCGCCCGAACTAGAGTATGGTCTGATCCCCCTTTATTTCCGGCCTCTGCGCCACGATAGGATCGACAGTCTTCCACCGAGGAGATCCAGCGTGAGCGCACTAGGATGTAGTCGATCTGATGTGCAGTGCGACCGTCGTTCGAATACCAGGTGAGAAGATGTTTTCTAGGGTGTTGAAATCGAGTGTTGGTGATATATAATCGATTGTAATCAGAAAAAGCTAAAAGTCTATCACCATTACGGCAGCGCTGATCGAGACCGTGTTTGCCTAGTATATGTTTTGTCGCGTCGTCTGAAGGGCCAGTGCGGGCGTTCCAATCGCCGGCTACTATGAGAACGTCACGCTTTGGGATTTTGTTGATTGCCTCTTGAAGATTGTCATAAAATTCGTCTTTGATACTTTCATCAGAGTCGAGGGTTGGGGCATAGACAGCGAGAACAGAAATGTCGAGCGGGGAACCCTTGAACCTAGCGATTGCAACTCTGGAGTTGACCGGTTCGAATGATATTAGGGCATTATTGGCTTTGTTACTGAGAGCAAATGCTACCCCATGTTGTCCCGAATTATTCTGGGGTCCACTATGAAGCAACCAGAATGAAGAATCTGTTCCAGGTACGGCTATTCGGCGGGAGCCATGATCGGGTAACCTCACTTCAGATAGACACGCTATGTCACCTTGTAGTCGTATAAAGAACGCATGGTGATAGACTGGCTACCAGGATCCAACAGCGTCCTAACATTCCAGCAGCCAACAAATAGTTGGTTTCTAAGTGTTAATTTCCCAGCTGGCTTACTTTTCACACTGGCCACCGGGTGAGCACAGGGCGCGTCGCTTACCGGGAACGCCGTAGCATGGTGAGAGTTGTTTGTAGAGAGTTCATGAAGTTTCATGGGAATTTGGTACGAGTGATGTCCCCAGCATCGCTCGGCCTTTTGTTTGAGAGTGCAGCTCTAGCCTTTACACAACCAAGTGTGACCTACAAGGCAGTAGGAGTGGAGTAGGAGTCCACTATCCATTGGCAGCCGGTGACCGGAGTTCGGTTCATACGCCTTTTTGAATGGGGCCAGACATCCAGGACATCCAACAAGCCCTTTGTCCATACGTCTGCCGGTGAGCTCCGGTGAGCTTCATACGCCAGTCGTTGGAGGTTTGGAATCAGGGTTTAGCCATCTCCCCTAGACTGTCATCCAATGGACAGTCAACCCGGTGAAGAGCGCCGAGCATCCGCTGAGGATGTGCGGCGACTCTGCGTGTCAGATCATCGCTTTCTTCGCAGGATTGCTTGCGTTCGATGGCATCATCGCCTGAGTAATTCTGAGGTTCGGCGGCGTGTGTTTGAACACAATGGAGATCACCATTGATTGAATGTCGTCATCTGGAAACACCGGCTCCGGTGGTTTGGACATGTGCTGCGAATGTCATCCCAGAGGAGGCTTCCGTACTGGTGTCTGTTCGCTAGCAAGCCCTGGGACGGGATGGAAAAGGCGGAGGGGGTGGTCAGACCATGACGTGGCGTCCAGAGATGAAGGATGCTTGTGCTAGATTAGCATCGGTTGATGTGTCACGACTCCCTGGTTAGGGTCCGCGAGATAGCTCGGAACGGTATCGGATATGGCCAAGAATCGTAATCAATGGCGAACGTATTGCAATTTCTTTTTTTTCTTCCCTTCCCGATGACAGTTAACGAACACTGTTTGAACTTGTTAAGTATGACTGTTTTCCTTCCAGATGAAGTTCCTTATCCGTTCTCTACTTATATATTTTTACTTTTGATCTATGTTGTTTTATTATTATTGTGTGGCGCATCCTTCTTGGTGCCATATTCTACCAAGTTTTTTTCTGTGTTTAAATAATAAGTAAAATAAATTCGTCTCCTCACTTGATCTCTCCGCCATGTCACTCACGGACCCTATTCCGAACTCGTTGCTAATATATGGGTTCAACTCGAGCGGTGGCCTGCATTGAGTGAGGTATCATTTGATGGTCTTCCCAGAGAGTGTCCGATCCGTTCCGACTTTCTCGGCTATATTTGTTGAACAATAAGTTCTTGATTAGTTCATTCCTAGAGTTTCTTGTTGTGTAGATTCTTTCTGGCCGGCCATCTGAATTTCAGTATGGGGGAGCCAGCGAGGTGAGCAACTGTTGATAAAAGTCTACAGTCGTGACCCTTTTGGTTAAATTTTTGTCCCATGTAGTAGGTAGAACTCGGTTTTATAGAAGACTATTAATTTCATACAAGTCGGTTTGTTTAGTAGACATATCGCCTACGTGATTTATCGTCGCCATTTTGAAATTGTGTACTGCTGAGTTCCAGAAATATTTCTTTGTTGTTGTGTTAACTGAGTTATCCGAACTATGAGTCACATGTATTGTGTAAGATCTTATGACATACTACTCACATGCACAGGCTAAAGTAGTAGATGGGACGGGACTCGAACCCTTGGACCTATTCATTATAATAATGGTTTTTGTATTTCCTAATGAATGAAAAACAAAACGATATTGTTTTTACTGACGTTTCGCTATTTAATGCAGCTGCTAATAGCTTTATCAAAGTAATATTAAACCAGAATTTACAAAATCTCAGCATACATATAACAAAGAGTTAAGGGGTGAGAAAATAGACAAGTTAGGTCAAGTTAAAAGGATATATTGAAAGTCAAAATAACAATGAAGATGACTAAACCAAATAATTGAGGTAATAGTAGGTCTGTTATGATATCAAAATAAAGTTTACTAACTTGATCATCGTTCGTCAGTTTGGGATCATTTTTCGTTGTCAAGTTGGTCAACTGGTAAAGGTTAACAAAACCAAGTGTAGATTGTTGGATTTGATCAGTGTGTAAAATTATAAAAGCACTGCGTGTTTACATAGTGACCTTGCTTATCACATTTGTGTTGATTTTGCCACTTCATGGGGGCGGGAGGTGTTGTAAGCAGGTCAGATTCTGTTTTACTCCATCATTCCTATTCACCAGACAATTTTGATTCCACTTGATGTGAAGTGCTTCTTATGGTATTAGACATTCTTTGTGATTTCTGAAGTTTTTCTGGATGATGATTTCAATATTGTCAAAATCAATTTTGTGGCCTGATTCTAAAGCTCAGCGTGTATACCTATGGCTGATGATTTTTCAAGTTTTTCTAGTTCAATTGGATTTCTAGGTGGTCGAAGAGATGCTCTATGGTGTTCATTTCTTCTGATTTTGATTTCTCGAGATGTTTGTCCGATGTAGATCGCATCACATTCCGAGCATTTTATTTTATAGACACAATTAGATACAGAATCTCTAGGGATTTGGTCTTTTATATGGACAAAGTTGTTTTGAAGTGTGTCCGATGTTTTGAAGAAAACTCTAATGTCGAGATGATTGAGTACTCTTCTGATGTCGTCTGACGTCTCTGCTCTATATGGAATGACGACTATTGAGGTCCATGTTTTCGTAATGCGTTTTCGGCCATACTTAATGTCAGTGTTGATTTTGTTGATGAAGTTCGTCGGGTAGTTGTTTTGCTTGAGAGTTTTAGTGATGTTTGAAATTTCTTTTTCTTGCTCATCTGTTATGATAGAGACTGTGAACCTGTTGATTGAAAGACAAGTGCTTGAAAAAACAATACGCCACATCTCCCTCCATCTTATTTTCTAGTAAGCCGACTTTTATCATCTTTACTGATATTTTTAACATGATTAAAGTATCACATTTATCGATGAGTTTTTTTATCACACTTTTAAATAGAGCAGTAAACATGTTTTTTTTTCGTCCTATAGCAAGAAATCAGTGCACGTTTGACTTCAGCAATAGCTGCTAGAGAAGCTCAACCCTCGAAGACTTCTAACTCCTCCACTACTCAACCGTGTCCTGTTTTGCCGAAAAGTTCTCATTCTGGTAAGAGAAACACCAGGACTGTACACAGTCAACCAACGTTTTCGTCATCTTCAAGCAAATTACCTTTACCTGCACAAGCGTCTATGACCTGTTCACCTGTCGCCAGCATATCAAAAGTTGACACATTGACGATAACCAACAAGAGTCAAAGTTATTGCCTTGCAAATTTAATTAATATGCAGCCTTCTTTAGCTGTTGATTTTAATAAGACGACACCGTATCATGCAGATCCAAATACACTACAGTTACAGAAGAATTCTTTAGGTATGTGATTGATATGACCAAAAGTTTTTTTTGATTTTTGATATGCTTTCTTTCAGATATGATAGAGAAGATTTGTAACTCAGGTGAATGATTTTGATGTGGTTGTGTTCTCTAAGCTAGCTGGATAGTTGATTTGCGAAGCTTTCATCACCCTACTGGGTGACATCTTCAGCGCATACTTCAATTTGAAGTGAGCTTTTAGATTTCTCCACGAGTTTATTAATCATCTCTCCTGGTCAGTGACCTTGGACGTGATTGGTTGTTTGTGTGTGTTTTCACACCTTCTAGGTTACTTGTATTGAAAGTGATTGTTTGTTTGACTTGAACTTTGACCCTTTGTGTGTGTGAGGTTTCTTTCTTAATGGTTGATAAATTTTGTCTATCTCGATGTGTCTATTGATTGATGATTCACCGGAATACCAGGCCAGGCTTCTAAAAGTTCTCTAGCATTGTTGTTGTTTCCTCTGTCTAATATTTGAACTCTGGTTGTTCCAGTCGAATTGATGTCCGTGGTTGTCTGTGTGTAGTGATATGAGGGAGTGGATATCATGTCTTTTGACGGCTAGCTTATGTTCGTGGATACGAAGACGAAGGGGACATCGTCCACTTTGACCAATGTAGTGTTTCTCGCAGTTGTTACAATTTATTTTGTAGATGATGTTGGTTTTAAGTCTTCTTTTCCTGTTGAGTCTTTTGGTTGACATAGAACTGAGTGAAGCAACTTTGTTGGTTTGTGTAGGACATCAATTCCTAAAGGTTTGAAGAGTCTTGTAGTGATTTCTGAGATATCCTATATATATGGTAAGGCCATTTTCTTTGTGCTTTCCTTGGTGGCTTTTGCTTTGATAGGTTGGTTTGGGGGTATATGTCTTTTGATGAAATTCCGTGGATATTCATTCTTTTGGAAGACGTCCATGAGATACTTTTCTTCAATTTTCCTTAATGTGGGGGTGCTGCAATGAGTCCTTGCTCTCTTGAATAGTGTTAGTATACAATTCCTTTTGTGTGTTATTGGATTGTTGCTGTCGTAATTCAGGATTTGGTCTGTGTGAGTTGATTTTCTATAAACTTGAGTTTCTAATTCCCCTTTCTTTCATTTTTGAATGACTTCTCATATAGTGACTGATCAATACTTTTCACTGTAAACCAGTGAATGTGTTTTCCTTTGGTCAAAAAGCTATTGAACTCTTATGTGTGTCCATTCCAGTGTTATGAAGGTCATTTGTGCTTTTGTTTTTGTGTCGAATGATCAGGGAAATTCAGTTTGTTATGTAATGTGTAGTTTGACTCGACTACCACTAGCTGTTTTACAACCTGATTCTATGTCAGCTAACATTTCTAATTGAGGAAAGCGTTGGCTAGTCCTGCGTAGCACATTTCCTAACCATCTCACTCAATTGGTGTGTAGCTTCACAACCTTATCGATTCACTTTCCCTTCCCTACTTAAAACACTCGATGCTTAATCTGAATACTACTCACGCCATCATACTGTTTAACAGGGGAGAGAGAAAGAGAAGGCAGATACGTGTGGTCAATAACAGCTAGCTAGCCTTCTCACAGCTCCCTCTTTCGCAATTGTCATGTCTCACTGACAGCCGAAGACGGGGATGGAGCGAAGTGGTGTGCAGTACACACGTCCTCTGATCGATAGCTAACCGGATTTCACGTATACACCAGAGATGGTATAGGTTGTCGAATTTCGCATATGCTTTTTGTATCCGTGGTGAAATTTGGATCAGATATATAAATTCTCAAATAAGTTTAGTGGTCTCTGCTATGTGTGTAGGCTAGGAGTCACTGTAGTCCAATCCTGTAACATCATCTTACATTTGATAGGAGGAAATCGAATGCCAAACATTTGGAGACTCCTGCTGAAGGTGTTCAGAAGACCCTGTGTTTTATCTGAGTCTTTATCTAGGATGACTGTAATAATAATAATAATTTGTTTTATTCCAAAACAGTACTTGTGATATAGAATGGAATTCTCAGCATTTTTTACTACAGTGTTGCATCCAGTTAGTACATTAACAATAAATAAAATTCTACATAGATTAAGGGTAACCTCAGTTAGTTTTGACAACAACATATTAGTATGTCGGTAGCAAAGCCAAAATTGAACAGAGTGTTTGAAGGTGTTAGAAAAGTAGATGGTAGCATATTTATTGGCGTAATCGGTAACAAAAGGTCGAGATATACAGAGTGTGAAAGAACGAACAAGAATGTTTTAAGTAGAGTTTGTAAGGAAGAAAGAAACAAAGCAGCACATAACAGAGAAAAAGAGAAAAGGAAAAGAAGGAAAGAAAACGTCGTACCTATAAATGTTATGAGTTGGGAAGACGAGATCCAGTTGTTTTACTGACTATTTAATAAGTTATAGGTATCACACCCAATGCTTTTTTTATCGCGCAGAACGTGAGTTTTTGTACGTGATAGTGCGAGCATATAGTTTCCTATATAGGCTTCTGGTTGTGCCTGACGAGATACAAGGGGAGAGTTGTGAATGAAGAGGGTGGTGTGAGTTATGTAAATAGAATGGATCTAGCCCATTTTTCACATGAGTCCAAGTGCCTATCAACCAGAATAGTAACAAGCTGGTTAAGTGGCACGTAGCTTACCCTGCTGGCAACCTATAACACCCTGCGTAATAAGGTATAGTCTTTCTTCAGTAGCCGTGGAAAAACTAACGGGGAACATGAGAGTCATTTGTAATCATTCTAGTATCTGCTTAATACTTGCTAGATAGATGGAGTCCTAATTAAGCCCAACAATATAGCGAAGTATCGAAACTTTTTGAATTTTAGTTCTGTTGTGTGACCTGTTGTTGAATCGATTCACTTTCATTTTTGTTAAAATTGTAATTCCCGATTCTACGATATACACACTACCCTGACAGTCGTGGTTATATATAAATAAACGTTACTGCGAGATTTCTAATCGTGTAGTGAAAGCTAGGGGGCGGCATAAGCCAAATTGAATCACCTCTGACTGTCAAAGGTTGAGTTAACATATGGTGCTTTGGTGAGCTCAGTCTTGCTCTATGCCTATGAAACCCCTGGTCTCTCTGAGCTGAGGACGTCTGGCGACTCTGTGTATTCGACCATCTCCATCTCTTGTAGAATTGCTTGAGCCTGAGGTCAGGAAGTGTGTGTTTGTACACAGTGGAGATCTCCACTTACTGAGCTTCGTTATATGAATACACTGCCTTTGGTCGATTGGATATATGCTACAAATGTCATCCCGGCGTCTTCCGTCCTGTCTCTGTTTTTACTATCCATAGGATTGGATGGGAAAAGTGGAGAGAGGTGTTTTCAGCGTCACGGGATTAAGTGTATTTGTGTTAGTTTAGCATAAGTTGGTACAATGTCATGACTCCCTGGTTTGGAAGTCCATGAGAGGGATACTTCGAATCGGTGACTCGACACGTTATCAGACATGGTCAAGATTGGCAATCATCTGTTTCGATGAACATGCTGTAATTTCCTTCTTTCTTACCATTCTGACACTAGTTCGACGAAGGTTGTTTGAGATCTTGTTAAGTATAGTTGCTTCCTTTCTGAATAATGTCCTTTATTCATTCTCTCCCTATTTTCTTTATATATTGTTGTTGTGTGTTTTAAATAAATAAATAACTATAAAACACAAAATAATTGAGCAAATAATATCCTTTTCGATAATTTCCTCCTCTTCTGGCTCTACAATTATGTATATGGAGGATTTAATCATGAGCTGACATCAGTTAGAGAACCACTGGAAAACCTAGGAGTACTGGACAGCTGTTTCGTCCCAGTTTGGGACTCCTCAGCAGTACGCACCCATTGGGGTTCGAACCCAGGACCTGGTTACAAGGCGAGCTCGTAGACCATTGAGCCACTGGGACTTGATCCAATGGTTCTTGAATTCTAACTTCTGCCAATCCACGACATAGCGCGACCACTTCGCAATGTCTTCTTCGATGAGTTACTGCCTCATCTTCGACCTGCTGTACCCTACTGGTCACGGCTTCCAGTGGTTTTCTAACTGATGTCAGCTCATGATTAAATCCTCCATACAATCAAACCAAATCCCTACATAACCAACACTTGAAAATTATGTATATGTTTATATACATAAAATATTCTAGAATAGTAGTCAATAACAAAATTAGTGTCTCTCTAAATAATGTCGATTTGTTAAATAAGATCAATAGAATTACAGTTCATTAAAGATGCTTAAATTAGAATAATAATAATAAAGATATAATAGCGAATAGAATATCAACTAAAATTAGGAGAATTCCGCAATAAATTGAGGATAATGTCTAAACTTCTTTTAGATGCATAAATTAGGCTTGTTAATGTGGATTGCCACAGCCTCAGCAATATTTAGTAGTCGAACTCTTAAGGTAAGATTGAGATTCGTAGGTATGCGGTAAATGACCCTGAAAGCATGGTTAACGTCTCTCTTGTGTTCTGTCTCCACAAGATGAGACAGAATAGCGCTGCGAATTGATTTTGTTTGTCCTTTGCTTAACCACGCACTGTGATATTCGGAAATTCGACGAGAAATACGCCTAATTGTACGGTCCATGCAACTAACTGGCTCCGCAGGAGCAGATACAGCGTAATTCAGCAGCAGGGAATGCTCTTTTTACCGCATTTTTAAGGCGCTGTGTTAGTATCTCTCTGATGTTGTCCCCGAGGAACTAAATTTGTAAGAATAAGGCCTTTTTAGGAACTGTTCGAACCTTGGGCTGCTTTGATTTTAGACTTATATTCATATCAATAAACTTTCCAGGAAAACCATTTTCACTTAGCAACCGTTTAATATTATTAAGTTCCTCATCAAGACATTCATCTGAGCAGATTGCTCTTGCTCTGTGAACCAAGCACTTTATCAGATCGCGTTTGTATTTCAAGGGCACAAAACTGGGAAAATATGTGTACTGGCCCGTTGATGTAAGTTTTCGATAAACGCTTCTTCTTATTGTGCCATCCTCTTTTCTGGTCATAAGGACGTCTAAAAATGAAATACTAGAGACTTTTTCTTTGTCACTAATAAAATTTATCGCAGGATGAACATCGTTAAATTTATCCAGGATGCTCTTTGCTTCCTCCTCGTTTTTCATAATCAAAAAAGCATCATCCATGTATCGACAATAGAATTCGAATTCATTAATAACATCCTTCAAAGGTCTGTTTTCTAGTTTTGCAAGGAAAATGTCGGCTAGAATGGGTCCTAGTGGTGGTGACCCCATTGCCACACCGTCAATTTGTTTATATAGTAATAAATAAATAACTGCTTTTTCTTCACCTTTTATATTTTAGAAAATTATGCCATTGTTGTCAGTAATAATAGAACTGCCTCCAACCAATTCAACAATTTTGAACCAACAGTGACAGTGACTTCTAATACTACTACTAATAATAATAATAATGCCGCGAACTCATTGAATTTATCATCGTCAACATCGTCATGAAGTGTGTGTGTGTGTGTGAATGTTGTTGTAAGTTGTAAGACACACAGTTCTTCAACCTCTATAAACGGTTCCCTTGAAATACTTTTTTTATATACATTCACGCACACTGGTGGATTATTAATTTCTCTGTGTTGTCGTTTATTTTACTACTCCATCTAGGCATGTTTTCATAACACTTTTATTTCCGGTTTAAATCACGGATTCCCCTTTATCCGTACAACTAATTAACTAACTGACTAACTAACCTACACTAAGTGGCCAATTCTGCTTTTTCCCTTCTTGTTAGTATTATTAACCTTACTGACTCACATCAGATATTTGTTAGTCTGTTTCAATTCTTGACTTCTTTATTTGTTTAGTGGTGATGGGGAGCTGGGGGGTAAATGTGTGTACCAGGCTGTAGGAATTTTCTTACTTCCTCCTCGTAGCATTGTTTTTCTGTGTGTGTGTGTGTCTCTCTCTCTCTCTGGCTCTCTTTATTAGGATGTTTATTTAAAAGATAAGAGAAATTATCTATTTATTTACTTATTTATTTATTTTCCTCTTTTTTCAATTATTTATTTATCATTATTTATTGATTGTAGTGTGTGGTGTGAGTGAGTAACTTTCTTATTGGCAGCCATATTATATACTACTATTAATACTACCAGTGGTGTAGTTAGATAGGTTTTATTATATATACTATTATACAGTTTACGTCCTACATTTTAATTTTGATAAATTTTTAACTCTATCCCTTTTTTCCATTTTTTTAGTTTTGATTTTTGGTTCTATTTTACTCTAGCGTAGTTAGGTCTGTTTTTCGTCTGTTATATTGTCTAGAATTTTAACCGTCCTTTTGTGTTTTGTATCTAGTGAATATTGAATAGGCTTCTTTAATTGAATAAAAGAATTCTTATATTTTAAATAGGATTTTTCAAATATAAATATATAGAAATTATCGTAGTGTATTTGCTATAATGTATCCTCTTCTCCTTGTGATGAAAGGATTAAATAAGAATCAAGCTGGATTTTGTCACTATTATTATTATTGTTATTATTATTACTATTATTATTATTATTAATAAAATTCATTTGCAATAATTCCTGTCTACTTCCTTTTCCTATCTCTTAGTCTGATCTCTTTACAAAACAATTGTTAACAAGTGTTATATGTTATTTTACATATGGGCACAATTTTAAAAATTTAAATATATATATATATATATTCATAATTATATGAATTGTGTTGTCCTGTCTTGTAACTGTAGAATCCAGTGTGCAGAAATCAAGAGTAACCAATCACGAGCTCTGACAAGCTCAGTGGTGATGTCTCCGACTACTTCTATACAGCACTTAAGGGGGAGGAGGGATACTAATTGTGTCCTTCAAGGTTGCAGATACGCTTTGCTGACTGACTGGTGAGTGTCAACAGGAACGAAACCCCTTATGTCGAGCATGGCTTCTTCTCGATTTCCAACAATCATCAAATAACAATATTTTTAGAGTGCACTGTGATGGTGAGTCACCTAGAATGGTGGTTGCATTCAAGATTTCCGCTTTCGTTCGTTGGAGGATTAGTATCCATTGGTAGGCAGTTCTGTCATTGACGTTGGTGATATTATTTCTGGGCTAGCTGCAGGTGATGGTTGATTCAAGAGTCATTTGAAGTGATCAACTCATTGTATGATTTGTTTATCCTCCTTGGTAATCAATTTGCCTTTAGTATCTTTTATTGGTTTCATCATCTGGGTTGTTCTGTTTCCGGATAGAGACCTGGTTATCTGATATGATGTTTTGCCGGTCAGTGTTTTGTAGAATTGTCTTTCCTAGCACTCTTCACTTCTTTATTAAGTGCAGTGTGTATTGAACTCAGTTTCTCCTTCTGTTGTCCATCTTTGAATTTAGTTATCACTATTCTGTTTCACCATCCTCCCCTCCTCGATCAGCTTCCAGATAGGTATCCGTTGAGAGCCATTCTTTCTTCGTAGAACAATTGTACATGTTTCTTCCGTGAACATCACTTTCAGAGTGTTAGTTCCAATGTTCTTCCACACAGGTTTCGTCACTGCTACCACGCATTATCTGCGACTTTTCTCTGATATCTGTTGTGAAGGCATCCCTTATAGTTTTGTCCTTCAGTTTCTGAATGTTGAATTTGAATTGTGGCCTGTCTCCAGTTGTTCTGAAGGGTTTCAGCTTCATCTTGAAGGTTCCTTGAACATGAGTAACTCTAGGAATCCAATCAGTCATACTGTTTGAACGAGTTATACACCGTTTTCCTGTTGACCTGCTCTAGGGAAAACGCCCGTGACTTTTGTGTGTCGATCTTTTTTTCATAATAATAATAATCTGCTTTATTCCAGATACAATACTTATAATACAGAATGGAACTCTCAAAATTTGTCACAATATTGCATCTGATTTGCTCAAAATATAATTAAATTAACCACAGGAATTTGTCGACATTTACGGTATAAATTCAAAAATATTCGAAATACAAAATAGGAATAATAAATATAATAATAACAGTGAGTTTGTTTCAAACAGTATTGTTGATTCAGTTTGGAAATTGTAGCATGTTACAGATTATTGAATCTAATGTTCTATTGATATAGTATGGTGAGGGGAAATACAAAATTGAGTTATTACACAGCCCAAATAATGTTTACACTTATGAGAAAAAAAAGTAAAATTGAGGGGATAACAATAAGGCTCAGTAGAATAATGATGAAGAAAATGGTTTTTGTACTAGTGCAAAGAAGGTTAGTTAATTGGTATCTGACAATATTTTAATCACATAAAGTACGTGCCCAATATAGCATAGTGGAGTTTTTATACTTGGACGTACGTGCATAAAGTCTTTCGAATTGACTTCTTGTTTAACGTGAGGAGACAAGGTTGGAACTGCGGGCAAAGTGGATGCTCACAGTGTGACAAAATTCCTTTAGAAAATTAGTTACATGAAATCAAATGCCTATCAATGACAATATCAGCGATATGGTCCAATAGAATACCACTCGCCCTGCTGACAGTCTTCAGAGTTCTACGAAGTATGACATAGTCTTTTTTAAGCAATCTAGTAAAGGATAAGCAAGGGTGAACAGTAAAGAAGGATAGGTAAGATGCACTAGTTGACAAACTGTAAGAGGAGAGTTTAACTGAGTAATGCCTGAGTGCCTTAACTTCTTAATGTAAAAATTCGGACGGAATGTTCTATCCAGATAGACCTGTGCCTCGGCTGTCCAACTGTCTCAGTTGATTATTCACTGAAGACCTAAGAAAGTGCGAACAGCATCTATATATCGATCAAACGATGAAAAGAAGACCAGACACTAGATCAAAAATGAACTCATTGATAGAATTAGACATGGTTGCATATTTGTCTGAATGAGGTGCCGAAAGAATTACAATATTAAGTCTCTGAATGAGTGTCAAATAACTCCAGTTTATCCGCTCAATGTTCAATTGTTGCGGTTACGAAATAGAATTCAGGTCATTTGGAGAAAAAGATATCCTGAATATGGGGGATATTTCGCCTGTGTTGATGCTGGAATTTGATAGGTTAACCCTTTGCCAAAATGTTTTGCGGGGTGATGATCGAATAATATTGCCGATTTTTCGGCTAAATAATGGTTGACAGTGGACCACTCAGTTGAATACCACAAGCTGATTAACATCCACCCAGCCCCATTAGCCCTGGAAAAACAAAGACAGGTGGTCCGTACCAATGAGAAAAACTTGATTTCATCTAGAAGAAATATGCGATTTGCGAATGTCACCGCCTTCGAAGAACTGAGAAAAGTGGCTTTTGAAAAACATAGAGTACTGGACGGCCATTTCGTCCTAGTTTGATACTGTTCCACAATATGCACCAACTAGTGTTCGAGCTCAGCACCTTAGGGTTATATGCTGATTTTATAAACCATATAACTAGTCTGACGCTCACCACCGACCGGCTCTTCACAGAAATTTTTCTGGAGTTCTCATGTTAAGCTGTAACGAGAGGAGTCCACCTAAGCGGGTAAGAAGAAAGGTACTCACCTCAGAAATTAGCTGGCGACTCAGCGAAATGTGGCGAAAAGGCAGGGATTTAAACTCATCAGCCACTGGATTAGGTCTTGGTGGCAGATTGGCATACAAGCTCTCCTCTTATCCGGAAGATCCTGGCTTCAAGTCCCAGTTGGCGCGCCCGATATAGGTTGGGCTCTTAGGTTGTCTAGTTATATCGCACTAAATATCCTTCCTAGTCCCAGTGGTTTAATTATTCAAAATCACCAAATTTAGTAATAGCATACCTTAGCTGATTTTGGCTTGTTTCGCATATTCTTGGCCACGTTCAATCGGTAAACTACTTTTATAGCTTTCTCTTATGTGACAGACAGCCTTTGTACCCTGCGACTGCTTTTGATGTAATTTTCCACCCTCTACCCCTAGATTTAGAGTTAGTCGTGCGGAGTTAACCATTACCGACCTTCTTTTCACTTCCCTTGACCCTGCAGTGATGACAAAACATTCTTATCAGTCATTCTGGTAGCTGACTTTAGCAGATAATAATGAACGTGAGGTGAGCGAACTGAAGAGAGTAGAGCCACGTAGCTTAGAAATATAAATCTCCATAGGATAACAAATTTTCAACTGAGATGACAGTCCGCATCACTGCTTGAATTTGAGCTCGTATTTCTCTCTAAGGTTTATTCTTCCAGTACCAAAGGGCGCTGCAGAGGTGCAGGGCACCAGTTCAAGTATTCGCCTCCCCTTATGCACTTTTCCTATGGTCTGTCGGATTCTTTACCTGTGTTTGAAGACCCTTTCAAAATAAGGACTCCTGAATATAGCGCTTTATTGTACATAACATCAGGAGAACAGTGCTGGATATGCAATAAAGCCACTCGTGTTAGGGTTTGTTCACCTTTAGAAATTTGAACGACTTTGCAGCGGGATAATTACTTCAGTTTTATCCACAAGTGTGCATACTACTAAATATGTGCTATTGCCTTAGTAAACTGCTCCTGCATACGGAAATACTTAATGTGATCAAGCAGCTTCACCGATCTCCTCATTACTTATGTTTATCAATTAGTGGCTTGTATTTTTGTATACAGTTGGTAACCACAGACTGCTTCAGGACTTTATTATTTTTTGGCAAGTCTCCAACATTATGCTCCTTATTGGGTCAACCTAGCCCTCTTGCAGTTTAAGGATCATCTGATATGCGTATCAATGGGGCTTTTGCGAATATAAGACCAATAAGATGTGACTTTGACATCCTCTAGCCATTTTCCGATGAAATGCCGTTTTATAGGTTAGTAAGGATAACAATTATTTTATTTCTTGAGCACAAATGAGCCATCTTCTCAACAATGAATACCATGGCTTGTCGGGTTGATGGAGTGAGCGTATATGCAGGAAATAACATATTGGTGAATACTATTATTATGGTTTTGTCAGAGTTTTTGTACACGCAAAGGGTCGAACTCAATTCACAGTTCATTTCCGCCTCAGCGATTTCGCCTTCAATGATCAGCCCGTTGATCTATGCTGACTGAACCATATGGCGGACAACTGGATTTTAAAGGGGAAACATACGAATTGCTGCGGTGACGATTAAGGCTACCTCGAGGTATTTTCCCATTTAATATAGCAAACGCCTCAACAGTTATCCTAGCTGTGTATAAAATTGGATAAAATACCTTTGAACAGACAGAGGTAAATTCTGATGCCATTACAGAATTTCTCTAGACATAGAACCAAATGCCTGAGGGAGTCTAGGTCGCAGCTGACAGCATGTGCTGTATCTGTGCAATGATCCTAAAACGTCACAGTGAGCAGTTTTGATTTTCAATGACTGTGCCTTCACTTTGGTTTCTGCCTAGTGGTGCCGTTGCGTATCCCCATATCCTCTTCATAATATCGTTAGTAAATATACCTTGGTAGAGCAGTATCATATTCTCCTTTCACTAGTTGCGCACTGTTAAATAAAGTCTGCAGTCCGTCCACCAGTTTTTAAGGGCAAGTTTTATGACTAGGGTAGTGCGCTAAAACGGAGGTTTGGAAGGATAGAATGCCATAAAATAGCTG